CATCTTGTGAGGAAGATCGATGCCCGAGTAAGAGGAATTTTTTTTTATGATGAGGTCCTTTTTGAAAGAGTTTAGATAGGACGGCCGACCTATTTATCAAAGCCGGCCGGACTGACTGAAAACGAGAAGGGTCGCCCAAGAAAGTGGACAGCACCGTCGACGAACTGGCAAACAAACTCGCTGCTACTGGGCTATAGCCACCAGGAGAACTTGAGAGGATAGACTAGAGAGCGTTCTTTTGTTCAGCACCGCCGGTCATTTTTTAAGTATGAACAGCGTCCTGGCTTGAGGCACATCAATTGAATACAAAGCTACAAAAATTAATGACGATTCTTTTCCACGAACCTGTAGATCTTTCACTCGAGCCTGTAGCTATAGTTAAGGCTTCCCTCCTGGCTACCTAGGTGGTTAGCTGCATGCAGCGCTGATCCTGCAGGCCGAGGATTGGACCAGCCAGCATTCTAGAAACCCGTTGCTTGTTACACGGCCGGTGCGAGAGAAGCTCCAGACAGGGTCAGGGAACAGCCGGCACTGCAGCGTAAGACGGCTGAAGAAGGGGCCCAGCGCCGTCTCCGGGCTATCCGGGCAACGGGATGCAGGAGACGTACGAGCGTCGCCTGAAGACTCGGGCCCCCTGCAGCGCCAGCCAGTGGTAGCTACGGACACTGTTTTACACTCTTTCACCCATTTAAATATCAAGGGCAAGCAGTTTAGTATGAACCAGGTGTCTTTGTCTATCATTTTTATCCACTTTATAAGGACCTTAATGGACAGTCTTAAGGGATAATGTGGCTAATGATTAGTTATATATAACAAGGTGACCATGGTTATCAACCTAGATCCTTTGCTATAGAACAACCACCTGCAGATCATCCTTACGTCAATTTACCTGGTAGCCAAACAAGCATCAGTTCTTCTGGTTGCTGCTAATATATATATATATCTCCAGGCCACCTATTAATGCATAGGCTGCAGGCTTTGCTTGTTCTATAACTAGAGATAGCTATAGCTGCAGGACATCCTCTATCTGGCTGCTTAGATGCCTCTGTCTTCCACCTTTATGCGATGCGCCTTCAAACGCCGATGTACTAGAATCACACGGAAAGAAAAAGAAAAAGCAACATCTGTCCTATACCTGAATATATTCATTCTCACATTTTTACATCCTCTTCCTGGTTACATGCTTGCTCCTGTTGAAAGCTATCGGTTGAGCGTGGTGGTTTTAAGAGGACTTGCTTGATCTACTACTGGCATCGTTGATATTGCCGCAAAGGACACGAAAGACCAACTTCAAGACTTCGCGTTGGAGGGAGACAGGAAGGGGGGTTCAAAGAAGCTCAGAAGGAGCCCAGAATGATACCTCAGTGCTTGATTGCTATGCCGCGGGTCTCGCCAGCCGCTCAGCGAGTCCTGTCAGAAGCCGGTTCTGATATCAAAAAGGGACTCGTGTCGTTGATGATACCAGCTGCATTGCTATACCTGGCACTCTACGCGTTGGTAAAGAAGAAGATGGGCGTATTTGTGATGCTGGACTGGATGGCCATCTGTGCATTCGCTGCCAATGGAACTTTGGTTGTGTTGGAATGCTCCGTTGCTCGAAGCTTGCAACTATTCGCAGGTGAGTAGTTAACTGGCTATCGCAGATGACTACAAACATGATACTAATGATTGCCACAGTTGCAATTGGCACCATGAAGGCATTGGACTTCTATGCTCGGAGGAAATCCCCTCCTAAATATACAGATCCGAATCCACCATCAGACAGCATCATTGCCTTGCTTCTCTTCACAGAACTGAGATATGAATCATTTACACCCAACTATCTCGGTACTGCCCCTGCTCCAGCTCAGCTCGAAGCAGACACTACGGCAGAGTACGTCTACTACCACAAACGAGACACGAAGGGCGGCAAACAAGTCTTCACTACAGTTGGCAAGAGAGTAGCCTCGCAGCAGACCCCGAAACGCAGGACTCCTCATAGATTCTCCGAGGCATTCGATCTAGTATTACACGCAGCTTTCTTCCTAACTACCCAGCTTGTCTTTCCGCTGTCCAATCCGACTGTCCAAGCCGTGCAGATTCTACTTTCCATCTACGTCATCTGGGAATCACTACAGCTTCTTCTCCGCTACAAGACTAGTCCTCCCCTCTTTGGGCCGCTATATACCGCTTCATCACTCGCTTCCTTCTGGAGTGAAACATGGCACACTGCTTTTGCTAGTCCTTGTCGGTCCCTCGCTTACGATCCTCTACGAAGACATTTGCCTGCCAAATACGGTGTTCCTGAATCCTTTGCAAAGGGGATTGGAATTATTGCTTCCTTCTCGTTAATGGGGCTGTTCCATGCATACAGCCTTGCTCCTGTTCTGCCCTTGGATGGTATCTTGCGTATCATTGCTTTCTTCCTGTTGAATGGGATTGGAACCGTTATTGAGACGGCGATATGGGGGAGAAATTCGCATTGGGGGAAAGCGCTTTTAGCTTGGATTTTTGAGATACTCGTTGCCAGTTGGACGGTAGAGGGTCTTTCTCTTCCAAAGGGGCTGCAAAACGTCTCCTGGGATAGCATCTGTAACGTTGGCGGAGTGAAGAGAGGTTGAGGTATTCCCCTTTTTCTTGTATAAGACTAGCAACAAACTCCACTACTACAGGTTAACAGGCAGTTAAATGAGAGATATGGCTGAAAAAAACTGGCATAAACGTGAAAATTTTGTGTATTCCTATATGAGATTAGACATTGCCGACGTAAACATCACTCTATAAGCGTGTTTGAGAGTAACTCTCGCGCTCCCCCCAAAATCATTACCTTACCCTATTAAATCAAAATGCATTAAAGACTCCCTGCATTGCTGCACTTCCTGAATCCTCACGACGAAGGACATAAGCCCGTACTTCCTGTACACTCAAACTAGCATTAGATTTTTTGCTCTGACTTCCGCTCGTTGTCCCGCCACTGCCTCCTCCTGATGAAGTACCGCTACCTCCTCCGGCTGTTCCAGCTCTTACACGCTCTTTGAGTGCTTGTGGGCCGATAACGAAGAGACTGCCAACTTCAAGCAGGACATCAAGTACTCCGCCGACACTCTTTACGGATTCGTCTATGTTCCATGACCGTAACAACTCTGTGTATCTGGTCATGTCTTTGGTAACCATGAGGCCACCAGGAGCGTTGACGGGGAACTTCTTGAAATGTTCCAGGAGTAATGCCCTGGTCCCTAGCGCAATCTCAGTGAGAAATACGCGGACATTGGAGCCGCTGGACGGCAATGATGTAAGTGTGATATTGTGGAGGCGAGTCAGGAAACCAGAGATAGATGCACATGTCTAGATTCAAGTTAGAATAAGCTGTAGTAAGCAGGTGTACCAAAGGAAGAAACATACCGGTGTCTGTAGCATCTCTAGCCATCCAGTCTCATCTGCTACGCCCTCCTTGGGCCGGAAGTCGTTCTTCTTCTGGCCGGAAAGGACTCGTGCAACCCATGCAAGAGTCACATCGACAGTCTTTTGTTCAATGGAATTGATCTTCTCCTCAATGCGATGCATTATAAGGTTGGTCTTCTTCTCCATGTCTCGTTTTATTGTTATATTGGAGGCGGCCAGTGGGACAAGCACGGCGTTGATACAAGTCATCATCAAATATGTCACACTTATAGCCGTCCTTAGGGTAGTTAAGTAGTTGAAATCCGGCTCAGCTTTACCAGATTCCTGTGCATGAGCTGACTCTAAAGAAGCGTCAAGGGCCATTTCTATGTATCCCTCGCCCATTCTGGAGAGGAGCATGTTCAGGAGCGTAGATACATCCTTGGGTGTCTCGCTGCTCACGCTGAGTTCTAGGCTTCTGCCCACTCCCTCAGCCAGCCATCGAAGCATACGTTTGGCAAATGCCACACTTAGCTGGCCGTCTTCTTCTGTGAGTTCAATCTCGTTTTGTTTTTGCATTTCACCGTTTTCCTTGAGACCGGCAACTCGTAGAAGCATTTTGCGCTGTGTAGGAGTGAAATCAGAGGTGTCCAGGCTGTTCATATATGCATCTCTTGCGGAAGCCAGCAGCTCACTTCCGGATTTTGCGAGAGAGGACATGAAAGTGGTTGGCGTTTTCTTCCGCCGGGAGTGGAAGGTTGCGAATTTGAACATGAGAGATGTATAGAGTTCTTCCAGGTTGTTCTTCTCCCTCTCGATGTATGATGTGCCCATGAGATAAGGAATGAACAGTTCTTCCAACTGCTGGTCAAGGAAGATAGCTGTTTGTGAGGATATTGTGTCAGGATGTTCAGTCAATCCATGTGCCTTCAGGTCGTCAACAAGGGCACTTATATAGCTGCGAGCTGACTGTAGTGTTCTCAAAAATGCCAGAGACGAAACCGAGCTGGCCTTATCCAAAACCAGTTCCAAACGTTGCTGTATCGACTGCTGGAATACTCGCTGCAGGAACTTGCATAATACCTGTTCATAGTAAGGAAAAGCTCGCTTGATGATAGACGATTCGTCCTGTAGAACAACCTGGACTTCGTCGACCAGCGACTGCAGGCTGGGCTCTACTCCAGGAGACAGAGCATCAGGATCAGCGAGCTGTTCCCAGGCCTCCGAGTCTCCGCTGACTTCTTCTGATATGAGCTGGCTGCGATCGATGAAGAATTGATGCTGGTTGACAAAGCGAGCAATAACGGAGGCTCCCCCGTTGAAATCATGTAGGACACTGGCGCAATCCTTCATGCCTTCGAAGTTCGCCTTTCGGTAGAAGTGATCAAACTGCTTCAGCAGGTCCTTCTCCAGCGTCTCTGAGAATTTCTCAATGATCTCCCGCGTATTTCTCCTTCTGGGCGTGGTCCCGTTCGTCCCTGAGTGGTCATCAGGGCTGGGTGGTATGGTATCTGTGCTTCCATTGCTTTCACTCCAGCTTAACGGGTCCAGTCTCTGGCTTATTCGCAGCAGCTGTCTGGCAATGCGCGCAGACCGTACTTTTCCTTCTGCGTTGCCTGACCGTCGCAGGTTCTCGAGCATCGTGAGCTCGCCGCGGTTGCTCACTTCGTCCCAGCATCCAATAAGGAAATGCGCATCAAGAGCCTTGCGTCTCTGCCGGTCTAGCTCTTCCAGCTTCTTCCCCGTCTCAACGGCCACATTGCCATTCCCACCTGGCCCATCTCGTGTAGAAGGTCGACGGGGTCCGTTCAGGGAGGTGTCCAACTTCTGAAAGGACTCGATAGCCTGGTTCAGCTTCCAGCCCAGGTTGCTTGCATTCTGCGTGTGCTGAGCTTCAGCCTTCCGGACAGCTGCAGACAGCTCGTTCTCGCGCTGCTCGAGGTCTCCTGAGAGTTCCGTCAGGCGGCGCTGCGCATGTTCGAAGGCGCGGATCAGGGGTTTGGGGTCGAAGGGCTGGTTGCCGATGCCACCGGAGCGGCGCTGGATGGCAGCGTCAGACAGGGACTCGATGAAGTCCTTGACGATAAAGTCTCGGCTCGAGAAGGTCTCTAAGGTGAAGTCTGGGCCCTTGTTGAATATCGACCTGCGCATATCAGACTGGTAGTTCTGGTCCGGCATGTTTGCGATCGAGTCCAGACATGGAGAGATGGCGAGGACGGACGGCGAAGACTCATAAAGCTGCGGTAGATGCTCTCATATATCACATATCAGCATCGACAGTCCGTCATGTCCCCCGTCGTAAGGCAGTAGATATTAATGTATTGCATGTACTGGTGATGGCGATGTCCCCTGAGGTGTTGTAGATATTTGCCTGGCTTTGGGTGTTACTAGCCACACTCAACTTCGCAAGCTGTCACTTAGCCACGCACAGCTACGTCAGAGTCTTAAAGATCAACATATTATTATTTATTTACTCCCCTTTTTTATTAGACCTTTTGACACAGCTGTCGAGTGCGGACGCAGTTGATATATACCACCTAGGATGCGGTCTCATGCCTATTTAATAATATAATACTCGATACCAGCATCCACTACAGCTGCTCGCCCGCCAGTCGTTCTTTACAGCCCGCACCTTGAATCAGACAAACCAGCCAGCCATGCCGTACGTGAAAGATGCCCCGGGCCTTCGAAGGCAGCTCGAGAGTCTTCCGGCTGCAGAGCGCGAAGCCGCCGTGAAGCCGTTCCTGATGCCGCCGCGCGTCCGCAAGTCCTCTGTCAGAGGCCGCAAGGGCAGCTCGAAGCCCGTCCGGCGGTTTCTAAAGTCGAAGCTCTACTATCTCCTATATTTCCTCATACACATCGTCTTCAGCATCTACTCGCGGATACGCCAGAGCTATTATGCAGTCGTGGATCGAGTGCTCGCGATTTTATATTATCACCATCGGACGCCTGAGCTGATCCGCAAAGACGTCCGGGGGTTGGACAGGCTACCAGAGCATCTCAGCGTGGTGCTGACACTTAGAAGGGATGAAGATGCTCTGGAGACGCTCATGGATGAGGTTGCTGAGCTGACGGCCTGGAGTTCGTGTGCTGGTATTCCTGCGTTGAGCATCTACGAGAAGACAGGTTCGGGCCAAACAGATTACCAAGAGTGAAGAAAGATATACTGACGCTGTGTAGGTATCTTGAAATCGCATATTCCAGCTCTACACAGGATCATCACCAGCAAACTCGACACTTATTACGGACCGCCTTCCCATCAGCCTTCGTTAGGCTTATTTGCACCCCACCACCCGCTCTACGCTCCGAAACTCGTCCCCCAAGCAGCAAAGTCGAACATCGAAAACATAACCGTCCTTCTCCTCTCGAGCACAGATGGAAGGGAAACCCTGGTTGATCTCACAAAAACCCTGGCCGAGATGGCACAGCATGGCAAGGTCTCGCCGCAGGATATCGGTATCAAGCTGATTGATGCAGAGCTTGCTGAGATGATGACCATTCCTGCCCCCTCGCCCCAGGAACCTGGCCATGAGACCAACGGCACCGAGTCTCCGTCCGGAAGCTTGCCAACTCCATTAATCAAGGCTGAGCCCGACCTGATCCTTATCTTTGGGCCTTATGTTAAGCTGGATGGTTACCCACCTTGGCAAATTCGGTTGTCAGAGATATTCTGCACGGGAGACCACACCACTGGCATTGCCGGCGAGGTGGAGGCTGTAGAGTATCAAAGATTCATTAAGGGACTGTGGAAGTATGCCAGAGCCGAAATGAGATTCGGACGATAGAATATCGCTTTTTCCCCCTACTTCACCATACCTTCCACCTTAGAGGCGTTGATGTTACTACCTAAAAACCTATGGGCGTTATATTTATAATACGGGCTTGGACATTATTTATAACAAATACATTCTTTCTAACCAATTAATCTCCGCTAGAAAGCATTGCATCTGAATTGGGAACATTTGACTTGACGTCTTCTAGGAAACAGCCGACCCAGGATAGCAGTATGCAGTGAAAGCACCCAGAAATAGAAAAAAGAACCAGAACTCCAGATATCAAGGGGATAGAAACACCGATCATCTATCCTCTATCCATGCTCAACGCAAATAAGACAACGAACGACTTCTTCTCCGGTCTCAAGGATGCCTTCCACAGCACAGGACGAGCATATCCTCCGACCAGGATATTCTCCCCGTTCATCCCTTCCGCAGTACTCCCTGTCCATATTCATTCCTCGTTCTCGGCAGTAAACGTCCTCACATTCTCTTAAACAGACGAAACATGCTCTCCTATGGCATATTTCGCAATCTGCGTAGGCGTCCAGCGCTGTCCGTGTCGTAGGGCGTCGGTGGCAAATGTGGCATGGAGCAAGGGTCTGTTTATCGCCTGTAGCTGCCCTGTTCGGTGCAGAACCGGTCTGTCGACGAATCTCTGGTATTGATCTATCGAGTTCGTCGTCTGATATGTGGTATCCATGAGCATGTCTAGGTGCATCGCCTGCATTCTTCATAATATAATCGTCTGACGTAGCAGCTGTAGCAGTTGTAGCAAAGGAGTGTGTATTGTTTCGAACATGTTGTAGGTTCCCCCCTGCCTGTGATGTTCGAGGGTACAGTAGAAAAGGCTGTGGAGGCTGAGAGGGTGTGGTCTTCGGATCCAGTCGTCTTTTCTTCAAGGTTGATATCAAGGGCTTGATTCGCGGTTTGGATGGAGATAAGCCCAGGTTCGTCCGAGAGCATACAGGACTTATAGTAGAGGATTCTACCCTTGCGTGAGGGCCTGAAGACGCATGTATCGAAGGCCTAAAGTCATTCTGACCGTTAGTTATTTGATCTGCCAAAGCTGCAGAGTTTGTGAGAGCCTCTCTTTCCCCCTGCGTGTTCAGACAGACTTACGATAACGCCGAGCTGCTTTCCTGTCCGGACTCTGCATCCCTCTTCCTCTTTTTCAGCATCATCATGCCCATGATATGCGAGCTAGCCTGTGAAGCTGGTGGCTCCCAGTTGATTGCCCCCGGCATGGGGGTGGACGTTGGTGTTTGAGCAGTGAGGGAGAACAAAAAGCAGAGAGTGAGAGTTAAAGAAAAGGCATAAGGGAACAGTATATGGTCATGCCGCTAACAAACAGGAATATATGTAAGCCATTAATTAGTTATTAGCCATGCCCAGGACGTTCTGTCTCTGGTCTCTGGTCTGGTAATAGCAGTGGTTGTTGTCCGGACAGCCAGGCTATTTATATATTTGAAGAGCTCCATCTTTTTTGCTTTTCATCGACCACAAAGCCTCCCATTGCCTATCAATGCACCATTCTTCTATTTCTATACTATCCTATCAGTACGTAAATACATATGCCCTAGAATCTTATATAGTTGAACTTTACTATAATAGCTCTGAAATTCCATCAAGGTAGTTGTCATATTACAGCGGCTTTCATTGGTAGCTCCTGCTAGTTATCACTGGTTCAGTTGTAACCCTTTGAAATATAAAAAAAAAGAGAATTGACATAAGACAAATGAATGGAATAAAAATAATAGGCTAATAATAATTTGTTTTAATAATCAGTATACATCTGAAAACACAAATAATAAGGACCAGAAGGAGTCTGGTGGAACATCTGGCCGAGCAAATGCAATCCTTCCGATAAGACTGATAAGACTGGCACAGCCTACCAAAAGCACCAGACCAATAACGAATAGCCTTCTAGAGGCCCGTACTTCGTAGTCAAAGGTGACAAAGTAAAAATGCACTTGTGGACGCCACGCATTTCAAGAAGAACGGAAAAAGGAGAGACAAAAAGCAGCATTCTTGCCCGAGGAAGTAAAACGCCGGCGCCTTCCAACCCCCTCCAACAGCTCCGGGGAATAAAAGGACATACCAAGTGCTAAGACAGTTTTAAGAAGGGAATGAGAGCATCGGGCCTCCCGTGTTTATTGACGCCATGACTTTCCACAAGCAAGACATGTGCAGAAGAGTGTCATCGGTTCGTCAGCAGCGCGTGTCTGCGCTTCGGTGTATGTGACTTTTCTCTGGCCGCATTTGCCGCACTGTAAGCTCTTACTGATGCTTCGCTCGGGCTGTCCAACCATGGCCTTGTCCATATTCTCCTTTTGAATCTTGAGATCTTCCTCTCTTCGCTCGTCGGATTTAAGCTCGTCGTGCGTCATGTTAACGAACCGGTCAGGTGCGATTTCGTTCGTAAGAACGCGAGTCCTAAGGCTGAGGTTCGATTTATTCTTCAGATTCTGGTATAAGCTCCGAATTTTCGTGCGGTATGCTTCTTTGGTCTCGGGTCCGAAGGCTTTGAATGCTGCAGCTTCCACTTCCGTTGCCTTTTGCAATACCGTTCGAGAGGGCTCTGTAGAACCAAGGCAAAGACCATCGTACATCAGACCGAGACAACTGTCGCGTGCCTTGACACCAGTAACCGCAGTGTTGACCTGGTCAGCTTTCCAACTGCGCTTATCTGGATGTACAGTTGAACTTTGCGGCTTATCATTTGCAGCAGATGCCGGGGTGCCGTTGCCGTTGGAAGAAGGCTTAGGGGAATCACTTGCGACAGGGGACGCCGTTTTCTTCTGCTTGTTGACCTCCGCACGCCATTTTGAAACTATCTCACTGGCAAGCCGGGCAACATCCGGAGCTTTATGCTGTTTGAGCCTATTGACGATGATGCCGATTTTCGTTGAGCGCAAAAGATCCTCGGTCGGCTGAATCCCTTTCTGGAGCTCCTTCAGCAGTGAAACTATCGTGGCGCTCGACTCTCCAGAAGCAGCAGCTTTGGTCAAAGCCTTTGACTTTAGCTCGATCTCTTTTGCATCCATGTTGTTATCCCGATCCTCCTACCACCAGTACTGTGTTCAAATGCTCGCAAAGCGTGGGAATAAAGTAGGGCAGAGGCAGAAACGCTATGATCTATATATCTTTAAGGAGATGTCAGTCTGAAAGCCCTGATAAGTATAAAGGATATGTAAGGAGAGGTGAAAACTAATAATGAAGAGCTCCAAATAGAGAAATAAGCCAATTGGTACCCCTTATGAAGTGGAGGTAATAGGTATTGCTCCTGAACTGCAGAGACCAATACACATGCGCGCCAATGCAAAAGTGAGCTAAAACTACTAGTTAAATGCAGTAACAAGCTCATAGCTGATACATAGATGTATCTCACAATAGCGAGCTACACTACCAGCCTCTCTGGTGGGGGATAGGAGGAATGCGACAGGTAGGCCTCACGCATGCACGGAGCCAAGCTCATCACAGCAAACTCACCACTAATAGCAGGTATCCGTATAATGGATCCAAACACTGACTTCTGGAGACTACCGAGATCGAGGGATGCGACGTGCGAATCGAGAGTGGCTGCGAAAGTGTTGTGATAACCAGAGGATGCGATCAATCTGGTCAACTTTCCAGAAAAACACCGTTAGAGGTGATCGGATTACATAATCAAGTTTTGCGGCTTGGCTGCTCTTGTGACCACAAACCCTAATTGGCAGGTTCGTGGACAAACAAACTTCCAGTCACTAGATTCGAAGTTTCTATGACCATCGAGAAGGCCGTGAATATATTTCTTTTCTTACAGGTTTATACCTGGAATGTCGATATCTCATGTGGAGTGCTGTGTAACACAGATGATGATGAGTAAAATCAATAAACACGGACACATTTCCTAGAAGTGGATGATATCAGGCTATCCAGGCTATATTGGTTATTTCGCCCGTTTATAAAACGGAAATTTTCTACTTGGCTCAGGAAATAACATTGACACTACTACTATCATGACAATCTCTCCGTCTCCCGATCAAAAATATGGGGAGTTGCGTCTCTTACTAAGCCATAGAGTCGACTTAACTGAGAACTCTACATCGAAGTGTAGGTAGATAGCCATCATAAAAAGTGGCCCTTTAGTCGGAGGAGCCTACCCTTAGCGACACTGATGTTCAAATGCATCAGAAACATGGGACAGGCAAGGAGAAACAGTCCTCCAACACTCCTCGTATTCTATAAACGCTTTGTGGTGATGGCTTGGCGCTGGGGAAGGACCATGTCTTGGCAACCCTAATGAAACGTCAAGAACGTCAGACTCAACATCAACGACAGTTTAAATCGATACCCGTGATACCTGCTGTCAAGCTGTGAAGCCGCATGGCTCGGAGATACCTTCTTAGCTACGTCAAGTGTTATGATATCATGTGTTAAAGTTGCTGTCACCGAAAGAACGCGCTTTCCCGATCCAGATATCGAGTCAGTCGGTTACCATGGATACAACGCTATGAATGACCCGATACGCGCGTCATTGGGCCAGTAATTGGATCATGCATATCCTTCAACAGTGCATCGAGCCTGGAAGCCCCTTACCACAATGTTGTATACCTTATGACCATACCAGTCGAATACCCCGAGCACAAATATTGCGTCTCGGCAATATCAGTATACCAACATAAACAGGTCATATCAAAGTGTAGGTATTGCTAGGTCAAATGCATCTATCGATGTACAGTCACTGTATGAATAATAGATACTTTGAATTAAATACAATTAATGACTGATACCCGTATACCCCTATTATCAAGATACATAAATCTATATAATGATATTGAGGGCTAGGATGGCAGCTACAACCATGAGCGTTGTGTGTGGCGATAATCGTGAAAAGGAAGTGACGAAAAAGAAGAGAAAAGAGGGAAGAGCAAGGGAGGCGACTTGCGAGGTTCAAAAGGAAAGTCACAGTGCAGCCAAAACACAGGAAGTTGAGCTACACCCAAGAAACTCAAGGCAAACAACCACCGTTGCTTATACCACACATTCACCAAGGAAGGACACGTGAAACATTACGAAAGCTGCGTTGAAAGAGCCAAAGGTAATGGGAAATAGGAGGTCCTTGCTGGTATTCGAACCAACGGCAAAAAAAGTGAGGGGCTAGGTGGTGAGCGCTATCCAGCTCTGGGCTGGAGTGACCTGACTACGCCATCCTGCCCCTCTTGAAGAAATAACAGAGCTAACTTACCTTATATCCCCTCTCATGGTGGTCACAAAGGAGGAAAAAGGGAGCCCAGCGCCAGACTCGAACCTGCTGCACGCAAAAAAAAAATCGGAAGGTGGTGAAGCGCTATCCGGCCGGCCCGGAGTGACCTGACTACACCAAAAGGCCTTCCATGAGGATATATTGCACAGAACTTGGTATAAGACCCCAACCTGCAGGCAGGATTTTGCTTGTTGGGCAGGATATAACCTACACATAGCACCATGCAAGCAGCTTCCTCTTAGAAGAGACAAGAAACAGTTTCATTATTCTATTGCAACTGTTTCCTTTATGTTTCTTTTATATACTTACCACCTTCCTTATTCTTCCACCTACATCTATGTATGGCCGCAGAAACAGGAGGAATATGCTGCTCTAGCTGCTTACAATGTCTATGGGTTTCCATCAACAGTCAATACACCATTTGCTTTCCATTTCTGCGTTGGTATTGCCCGATATAATCTTTGTTACCTTTGATAAAGGTCGCTGGATGATATCTTCCATCCTTTGAGCTCAATATAGAATTTTTGTTTGTCAACAAAAAGGGGTTTATATCATGAAGGCTATATATACTCCCTGCTTTACACATCGTGTTTATAAGTGTCTACCATTTGAAGAAGCGCATATGCCTGTTTGCTTGGATTATTCAACGATTTCTCTTCCCTAGTCTTAATCTGAAATGTATTACATCCTCTGCCGACTGCTTAGGCTAGCAATATCTCCGGTATGGCGGACTACTCTGAAGACGATGATCAGTGCAACGCTTCCGTTGTGTCAGTTGGTCTACTTGATGCTCCAGAATACTCTCCAAGTGAGCAAAACAGCGAAGATAGCGAAGAATGCGGCAGCGATAAGGAAGAAATTGACGCAGAATGAATGACAGATTCACTCCAGTAAGTATCTTTCCCTGTGTTTATATGTCTCCTATTCCACAGTTAACATTCAAACCTAGGATGAAGGAGAAAACGAATCCACAGTGGTTGACGGATGGGATGAGGACGCCAAATACGCGCTGGCAGTGCAATACCGACGGCAAGACCCATACGTTACCTACGAGGATAATCGTTACGCATTCTAACAAATAAGAAACAGACACAAGAAGAAATTCTGGACGAAGATTGGAGGATTCCTAGACTTCCCGTGGCGCGAGGTGGAAGCGATGCACTTTGAGCTGGGCAAGGAAGATCTCTCATCTAGAGCAAACGAGGCGTCACGAAATCCTACCACCAGCGACCGGATAATGGACGTTGCCAAGGAGATAGAGTATCTCCGCAGCATCTTCTACTATGATATGGATGAACCCCATGAGCCACTTACGTACCCTCGCTTGCTGGATGCGTTGGGCGGGATATCAATCTGCACCACCGCCCTGATTAAACAGATAGAGACATCGCCTGGTCCCTGGAGCCCTCGTGTTATTGGATTGATGGAAGAGATGGTTCTTGACCTGTGGATATTGGTATCGGACGAGCTTGCAAACGTGGATTGGAACCCGATATGGGGCCGTGGTGAGACCTGCATATTGCACATAGGCAATGAATGAGCGTACTAGCTACACCGCCAGCGTAACCGAAGGCAGCCTTCTGCCATGCTGATGGGGCGGGGAGAGACGGAAGATTGCTAGCTAAGGGTTCTAGAAAACAAAAAGAAGCTACTGGAATCCAAGGGGATCAGTTTCTTTCACCCTTTTCTATAATAAGTAGCTCATCAAGTGAAAAAAGACGTTGGATAAGGGGTGTTTGCTCGAACAGGGATATGGCTTTGAATAACCCCTGCTAGCCACTGACTTAGGTAGTTAGCTAGCAATTCAGCCTTAACTATCATCATCACAGCCGCACGCCAACAAGGAGTAACAGCAAATTGACACGACTGGACTTGATGATACCCCGTATACCCGGCGATGATCCCTCCAAAGTACTGGTTCTTTGTCAATGAGGGAATGCTATCTCCGGTTCCGATAGGGCCTTGCACATGGGAAGTGATCGACTGGGACAGGAGCCGTTGGCTGCAGATCCGCGGACCAAAAAACACATTCCCCGAAGAAGAAGACTATATTGAGGACTTTGCGGCGCGATATGCCAACCAATTAGGAGAGGATGAGCAGACGTTGATATCAAACGAACATCGAGAGCTTGTAGGCGTCTGTTCAATGACCCGACATGGGAGATCAGGTATTCTCATTACTCTGGCCCGCTGGACGAAGATACTATTATTTTACGGTCAAGCCTGGTCGAAATTGAGAGGCTTGATGTAGCCACAGATTTAGTCACGTATAGTCAAGCCAGTACGGTTAAACAGCTTGTATTCATACACCCTTATACAAACTCGCATAGAGAACGTCTGGAGAGAGCTGCATATCCTCAAGGCATTACGGGAGAATAGGCGATTCATACCTTTCCACCGTATAGTGCTGGACGAGGTAACGCATAACATCCTCGGTTTTACTTCCCAGTATATCGCAGGCGGCACTTTAGAGCATTATCGCGGCACATTCTACTTCCGCTGGCTGAAGCAGCTTACGGATGATGTTGATGATTTGAACCTGCGCTATGGAATCATGCACCAGGATCTCGCACCCAGGAATATCTTGATCGACCCAGCCACCCAGGACCTGCTAGTGTTCGATTTCGACAGATCGGGTCAGATAGGAGGGAGAGATGCAAGTAAAGGCTGCGATGACGTCGATGCACTGGCGTTTACTATCTACGAGACCCTAACTTTGGACGAGAGCTTCCGAGAGCGGCCACCCTGGGAGCAGGACGTTGGCCACGTGGAAAGCATGACGGAATGGAGATTGCAGCTACCGTTGGAAGACGGGGTGGATATCTCTGTCTACCGGGGCTTTATTGCGAAGTGGGCAAATGAGCGGCGAACAACTAGGACAATCAAGCACTTCTCTGAGGCGAGCGAGCCGGTTTCCTGGCCTGAATACGCTGAATTGGAGATGATTGAGGTTCCTGATGAAGAGTACAGGACACGCATGAGCTTTCGTCGGAAGAGAAAGGATGTCGAGAGTGCTGGGGGGTATGTTACGCGCTGGGAGAGGCCGCCGCAGCAAAAAGAGGTGAAAGAGCCGAATTAGGCAGTTTGATGGATCCAGTAAATAGAGGATATAGAGCACATACTAAGCACGTCGATGGAGTAGAGAATACGTCAACATCTCTGGAAGTCAAAGAACATGAAACATATCGGGGCCCCCGTTGCCCGGTACGTTTCAACTACATATACATATGCAGGTAGCTAACCCGGTTTGTAGACTGTTGACTTCATTTCATAAATGTCTGCATTATATCCCCCCATGGGAGCATGCAGTAGCTGTGCATTACTGAGCGACCTCCCCACCAAAAAGAAAAGCCACTTACTTATTCAGTCAGTCAGTCGGTTACATCAGTTTCGAGCGATTAAAAATCCTGCATTGCTTCTCTTTGTTTGAATCATCAATAGCCGGCTTCCGTCCGGCGTATGGATGTAACCAAGGCCATGCCATGTCCAATGACATAACAGTCGCGCATGCGCTGTGCCGTTTGTCAAACCTGGGCGTATATTCATGAAAGGGGAACCACCGTACCACACTGGCTGGCTACCTACCTACAGAATGAGCGCATTCTGCATGCATTGCCCTAACTAGACCAGGACTGTGACGGAGAAAAGGAGATAGCCGCAGGGCGCTGTGTGGAGATGAGATGCCACCCATCGAATATGGTATAATAGTAATAGCAGCAGGTAGTATAGTTCTCTGCTCCAACCCCCTGAAACACATGTCTGGGGCTCTCTGCATAGCAAGGTACGACCAGGCGGCTATGCAGTGCATCCCAAGCCCCAACTACGGGGGCCGGAATCATGGTCACATCCCTAGCTATAGCTGTCAAAACCCATGTCGTTAGCTAGCTATACATATCCTCTATATGGAGTATGTGTTATATGCTGGCGTCGGGCGTTTCTGCAGCTGCAATGGCCCTTTAATGGAATTTTGCAGGAAACAAGGAAAGAAAAAGAAACCAAATCAAGTCCACTTTTTCTTTCTTTCTCTTTCTTTCTAGAAGGATACCACGCGTTCAGACGCATCAGAAGGGAACAGAAAATAAAAATAAAAAAAATACAAAGTGGGCATGGCAGGTATGTGTGTGTGGTGTGGCCTCCTTTTCATGACGTGTAGGATGATGCCATGTAAGTAAGTGAGTGGTTATGGGGGCGCGGCGGCTCGGTAAGCAGCTTGCGTGCAGCAAGTGACATGGCATGGCAAAGGCAAGACAAGACAGGATTAGACAGGACAAGACACGGCTGGGGAGCTGATCTTCTAGTCTGACCGACTACCGAACTCAGCAGCACGGTGTTTGAGGCGGGCTTTGGAGGATAACTAGTTATCGCTTCGTATAGGCATAGCCGTTGGGATATTGATGTCTGCTTGCCAGTCCGCGTCCGTCTATTAGTCTGTCTATCTGTCTGCCTTTCCAGGCCAGCTGGCTTGTACATAATTGACTAAGGCTGAGCTGACGGCCTTGCACTAACGAGTTGCCCCGGCTACGTACAGGACAGGGGTTAGACGAGCACTAAGTGATATCAAAATCAATAAAGGTAGACAAGGCACAGCGCAAGGGACTTATCCAGCAAATTGACGAGAGAAAAAAATAATTTGGCTATGTGAGCTGTGATAAGTACCGCGGAACCAACGCGACAGGCAGACAGCTGAGATGGATTGCAGCTGGGACTATTGGCTTGTTACCGACAGAGAGGACGGACAAGGAGATCCCGTATATCCGTGAAAGTCGCTAAAATGCCTGCCTCGCAGACCGAAGCCTCGTCAGCCAGTCGAGGAGCCAGCCCTAAAGTTGTCCTTGTCCTCGTCTGCCTGTTGCTGTTGGTTGTTGTTGTTCTGCTTCTTTGTGTCTGATCCCCCTGTTTCGTGACCAGTTTCTTTTCATCGAGATGGCGTGCCATGCGACAGCGAGGGCGAAGGCGAAGGGCGAAGGACGCAGCGGACCACTCAGCTCAGCCAAACGGAAGGGAACCAGCATGATTGATCTCTTTGAAATAATCCTCCGCAAGAGTGGGAGTGGCAGACATGTGGTTCTGACATGTTGGATGTCAAAATCAAATCAAATCAGAATCTGAAAAAATGAAAAATGAAAAAAAAGAAGACTATCTGCAAGCCGGATTCTCGCAGACACACACACACACACACACACACACTTTAACTTGCTTTCTTTGCTCTGGTCTCTGACAGGCCGAGCAAACGAGCTGGCGCACCTAATCGGTGAGAGGACGGACGGACGCGGACATCAGTTGCACATCAGTGTTGGTCGTGAAGTGGCCTAGCTGGCTGGCTTGCGACGTACGGCGTACTCGAGCCAGAGATACCCAGGTCAAAGCCCGGAGCTAGAGCCAGCCAGAGCCAGCCATGGAGTGAGTGCGAGGCGATGCCCGAGTTTTCTCAACGGCGCGAGAAAAAAGCTGTGGTGTTGTTGTGCTGGGCTTGAGGCTGAGGAAAGGGGGCGTTTGTCTTGTCTGGGGTGCAGAGGCAGGGCACCGAGCACCTGAGCACTCAAGCAAGCAAACACAGGGTGCATCCAGACCGCATGGCGAAGATGAAACTTACATAGTGCTTGTTCGAAGCAGTTGACAGTCGCACAGGGGCAAGTAGAGAGTGAGAGAGTGAGATAGAGCTGCGTCTACGTCTACGTCTGCGCCGCCACCAGTTCCTGGTTGCTCCATGAGGGTGAAGGTGAAATGGTGATCCATCTGGACTCGTGGCTGCGGGCGAGTTCCCCATAACCAGAGTGTGTCCGTCTACTTTGCTTCTTGTGTCGGCTCGACCAGAACGAACGAACAAAAAACGAACGCTCAGGCTTGAACCTTCGGTTCGGCCGGGGTGCATTGCTCTACCACATAACCATATCTAGATAGGTATGGGCGCAAAAGAGGAAGAAGATCGTCCGCTCATCACCGCCGTCCGAAACGGAGGAGTCGACGCCTCCCCCCTTGTTTTGTTTGGCCTTCGTTTAACCGGATCCTCTCCTTGGCTGCACCTGGCTTCGCACTGGCATTCTGGCATCTGGGTCCTGGGCGGTAGCAGTGTGTAGGTTCAGGTAAATGATCAGAGCCAGGGGGGGACGGAGCGAGAGACGGGCGTGGAGATGGGGGGCTCTGATTTGCCTCTGGGCGCTAGTTACAGTACAAGACCCTTACTAAGGGCTGTGTAAGTGTAAGGTGGACATTTTAACTCCTTGACTCTCAAGCCAGTTCGGGGCCATAGCTACATACATTTGTGCGAATCAAGCATGCCGAAACTATTAATATACGGCAAGCGGCAAGCGGCAGGCGGCAAGGGGGAGGCGAGGATGGATGCGATGGGAAGAGCCGAGGGAGACAGACTGCTGGGACGCGAGAGAGCGAGCGAGAGAGAACAGACAGCGAGAGAGTCTGGACTGGACGAACCATGGATTTGACTGACGAAAGAAGACAATGCTGCAACCATATTCCATTTCGCTCATATCAGTACCATATACCGCAGAAATATGTCGCGGTGAAGGATGTCCTATCTGAAACCTTGCTGGTAGGACAGAAGCAGGTACAGACACAACCCAACACCAGCAGTGAATTCAATTGACTGAATTGATGCTCTGTACTCTGTAGATAGGAATGGTACTACCTTGCTGAGGGAGTTACGGAGTACATGCATTAAGATGGGTTACTTGAACAGGATAAAGGCCGGGGTTGGATCTGGATCTGGATCTGGGCCACAGAAATATGATATGATATGCCCTGCCTGCCATACCCTGGGCAAGGTAAATAAGTATACATCCTTTCGATGCTTGTTCTTGTACCCATCCATCCCCATGCAAGTGAGATGCGATGCACGATAAGTACATGCAAATGCAAGATGCTGTGATCCGATCATCCCATTTCATCCCATCCTATCCCATCCCCTTTTCTTCGCTCTCCGTCCTTGGATCTGATCTGATACATCCAACCGCCACCTCAACCAATAAACCTGCTCCCTTTTCGAATCCACCGACCCTTTTAGACCTCAAGTTGATCGATAGGATAGGTATTATTGCTATTATACTTATTATTATCTTTTTTAGCTATCTCAAATCGCGATATCTTTGCTTCTTTGGGGGGGTCTGTCTCCATGAACTAGCGATCATAACCTTGCGGAGATCCCCCACCGGCCGGTCTTGTCTGGTCCTGTTTTTAAGTGCGGAAATTTATCTAGTTGGGCGAGAGCAGAAGTACTTCCGAGGAGTAGAGTAGACGTAGAGTAGACGTATCTTGATGAATGTAAGCAGGTGTAAGAGTGTATGTAGGGGCCAGATTGCTAAGCTGTTTGCTGGGTTGGTTAGTAACTGCATGAGCATAGCCTAGAGTAAGTAATCAGTGTACTCTGCACAGCACAGCAAGCGTAAGGAAGGGCATAACTTATGTATGAACCCGACATAACGAGTGCATGTTTCCTTTTTCCCTTCTTCTTCCTCTTCTCTCTCTTTCTCTTCCTTTTTTCTGTTTTTTCCTCTTTTTTCCCTCTTTCATCTTTTCTTTTTCGGTTGCTGCTTAACGTTTTCAAGGGGGCCAGGGGGTTCAGGCGTAAGTTACTGTAACTACCTACTTTACCTACTTACATATATATATGGCTACGTGGTAGTCGCACGAGCGCAGAGGTGTACGGTGTATCCGCCAGTACAAGCATAAATAAGGACGTAAGTGACTCCAGTTAAGGCACCAGGGGGAAGGAAGGGTGCATGCAGAGTGTGTCATGTCGGACTAGTGGGAGGACCACGGATGGATATGGTCGATCTGGAGGATGAAACGGTGAACATAGCCATGAAGCAGCGTAGAACAGAGTAGCCAGCGCAGAGTAAAAGAGTGTAAAGAGAGCAAGAGAGAGCCGTTAGAGGACTGGGACTGGGGCGGATATCCTCACGCTCGGTACCGCTTGGGGCTCGTATCTAGTGCCCCTGTCCATGTCCCCATGTCCATCTTCCCCCTGTCGCCCAGCAGATAGATACATGCATCGATAACATCTTGGGCCTGCCCTCGTCTATGTACTTTCTCCATAGTTCGAGAGTTTACTTCGTAGTAAAAGGGCGAAAAACCAGGTCATGCTTGATGCTTATGCTTATATGCTTAGTGAGTATGATACATCGAGGGTGCCCTTGTACACGGCGCAACTACGGACGAACTGCTGCGCAGCAAACGAAGGGACGAGAAGAAAGAAGAGAAGCAGAAAAGAAAGAAAGAAGGAAAGAAAGAAGAAAAAAAGCAACCATCGCGCTCCCTTGTCCCCATCCTCCACGGCTCGCCCGAAGCCAGTGAGAGCGCAGAGTGAAGCAGCACCCGCATCCCTCGCTGCCAGTTGTCCGCAAGTAACCAAGTGTAACTACGGGGTACTTCGAGCCCAACAGAAGAACCAGAACAAGAACCAACTCATGAACGCTGTCTTCATCTTCTGACTGTCTGTCTCTATCTTCTGACTGTATCTTCAACTTCTAACCTTCAGTCTTCTAACTTCTGACTAGGTCCAAACAGTCAACTGCTCGAGCACGGCGCTTGGGCGTGACCATCAACCCAGGGACGAACGAGAGCCCAGGGAGGCGAAAAAGCAAAGCTGCGTCTCTCTAGTAAACACTTCACACTTTGAACACACCCACAGGTAAAAAAAGGAAAAGCAAAGAAAGGACAAAAGAGGTGAGGGTGACTCCACTGCAGGAACCAGGAACGGCCTGTTGGCTTCTTCGTCGTCTTCTTCTTCGTCTCCTTTTTGCAGTTGTATTTGCATTTGCAAGCAGCAAAAAAGAAAGAAGAGGCAGAAGTACATGTACTCCATACATATTTAGCATCAGTCCACGCATTCTCCAGGGTTGCCGTCGCCCGTCTCGCCTAAGCAAGCAAGTCAAGCTAAGCAGAAGGCTAAAAGGTTGGGCCAGCAGGGCAAGGCAAGGTCTTGAAAAAGTAACGAGAGGGATGGGCGCATGGCCGGCTTTGGGTTGACAGTTAAACTACTAACCGCCCATTGATTTATATATATACATAGGCCATGTATATATAGGCACAGGCGTAGTATTTACCTGTTTGTCACTACATATATATAACTCTCGCTCTCCCGCTCGTTTGCTTCTCCCTTCCTCTTGCTTGTTTCTTGTTTCGGGTTTACTCTTCTCTCTCTCGCTCGCTCGTCCCACCGCTTCTTTGCCCTGGGCTGGCCATGCATGCATGCATCTACGACTAACCGACGACGACGACGCCTAGCTGCTGCTGCTGCTGCTTGCGTATAAGACCAGCCAGCCATCTCTCTCTCGCCTCGTCCAGCAGTCTCTCTCGCCTTTTGACCGACACACACTCTCTCTATACTTACTACGACTTACTACAAGTGACTACGACTATCAATCACCATGGACGAACAGGAGTTTGAAGTGTTCGACTCGCTCCCCCCAGCGCTGCGTCGCAAGGTAGGCCCTTACCCCCTTACCCCTGTCTTCATCTCTATCTTATTCCGTATATCTCCAATATCTTCCATCTCATCTCGTCACTCGGTATGACGATATCCGCTGTGGACTTCGACTGGTGGACTGCAACTGGTGGACTCTCTCTTCCTCTCACCCCTTGCTAGTCCGCTTGGCCGCCGTCTCTTCCCTTGCTCATGCTCTTTGACCTTTTCGAGCGTTACTTTACCTTACTTTACCACTAAGTTAGCCAAAGCTACGGCCGACTGAGACCTTGTGTTGCTCCTGTTGCTCCTCGTTTTTCTGATATCACTTTTCTTTGCTTCTTCCTGCTCACATAGCACAGCATCCTGACTATTACTTTGGCTGCCTTTGCTGACTTGTGATTGACTTGCGTGCTGCAGCTCTTCTCTAACCTCGAGCGCTTCCGTCTCGAGCAGATGAGACTCGCGCAGGCCTCTAATAACCTCGACCGACGAGCAAGTGAACATCACCACTCTTCTACTGCTCCATCCTCTTCCTGCTGCTGCTGCGGTACGACGACGACAGCGTCTTCTTCCTCGCCCACTAAGCTCTGCAGACACCGCAGGCCCAGCAGTCCGAAGGCCCGTAAGTACTCACTCTTCTTCCTCACTATACTGTATACTCCTATACTATACCCATCGTATATACCCATATTTATTACCCACTCCTTTCTCCCGTTACTCCTTTTTTTGTTTAATTACGTCTGTCTCTTTTTATTATTCGCCTCGCCTGCATCATCGTTCTCTTTTTCTTCGCTTTTCCCTTCTCTTGTGATCGTATACTAAATAATACTACCAGGAAACCAACGGGGCCGGCCAGTCGCACCGATCAACGGCAAGAGACGCTGCAAGTCCTCGCACCAACGCGTCCTCCAGAAGCCCTCGGCTCAGCTGCAGACGGCCTACCTGACGGCCCAAGCAGACTCCGAGTGGTTCCAGTCGCTGCCGCCAAAGGTCCAGCAGCGCCACTTCAGCGTCGAGGAGCAGGCCCGGCTTGGAGGCTGGCGCTCCAGCATCATCTTCGACGCCGCCGACCAGGCCTGCTACAAGTACGGCAGCTTCACCACCAGCGCCGCCGCTGCTGAGTCCTCTCTCTCGCTGCCAGCTACTTCTACTCTCTCTCGCTCTTCTTCTTTCTCGAGCATGTCGTCCGCTGTTGACGGCGATGCGGGCGTTGACGCTTACAACAACCGTGCAGACGACTCGCTCTACGACAGCTTCAAGTGGCTCGACGAGGAAGATGATATAGATCTCTCGCTCGACTACCACGCCCACCTCGCAGAGACCTCGACTCCTTCAAACATCCACGGCAAGACCAAGTCGCCCTTTCGAAGCAGGAGACCGTCTTCCTTCAGACGCACTTTTTCCACTTCCTCGTCAAACCGCGGCATGAGCAGCGGGGGAAGTGCTCTCCCCTCACCTCGTTTGCGCAGCCAGACCCAATCTCACAGCAACACCAACAACACCAGCAACACTCATAGACCACGGTCAGGATCAAAACATGCTCCACCACCACTACTACCGTCTTACCTCCCTCACCCTTCCTATGGCTCCGTCGACCATCCAGCACAGTTCTACCAGGACCCCGAGGCCCGTCTCAAGCTGAGAGTCTACCTCGCCTCTCCCCAAAAGTTCGACGAAGCAATTGAGTTTGGCTTCCCTTCCCTCGAACACAACGACAACCTGGGCACTCCCTTCTCCTTCGATCGCAAGTGGAAGATGCAGGAGTCTCCTACTTCCAACTGCTTCATCGACTCAGAGTGCATCGCTCCCTTCGACAATTTCGCCAGCGGACCTCCCAGCCCTCGCACCGCCATCCGACCAAAAACCTCCGGAGACCTCAGGCCAGACACCAACTGCCCCTCTCCATGGCGCAACCCTTCCGTCTGCGACTCCGTCAACTCTCGTCCCTCTTGCTCCAGCCGTCGTCCCGTCATCGTAGGCTCCTCAGGCCCCATGGGCGGCAGGGAGATGACCCTCAAGATGACCCTGACCAGACCAGACCTCAGATCAAGCGAGCTTACCGCGTCACCTAAGTCTTCCATGGAGGATCCGCTGAAGCTGGCTGACTTGCCTGTGGACGAGAAGGCGCCTGTCTGGGACAAGCCGGAGAAGACCTCCATGAAGAGCGTCTGGAGGAAGATCACCGGGAAATCAAATTGAAATTGAACCCAAAAGAAGAACCCCACAGTCATTATTACTTTCTTTTTTCTACTTTCTATCTCTTATCTACTTTCTTTTTCATCTGTCACTTCGCTTCTTTGCGTGAGCCATGCTTGCCAGTTACTTTACATACCCATACTACCTTTTATTCATCTCATACATACATACCCTTGGAAGTCCTACTTACCTGACGCCTTATGACCGAACCATCCATCTTTCTCTCCTCTAATTTCAAGTCCACCAATCTCTATCTCTATCTTTTCATTCTGTCTGTCAAAATACCCACTCTCATACTTCTTTTTCTACTTTTGTAATCGCCTGCATTTACCCACCTGTTTCGATCTGCCTCCTTGCACATAGCCATATATACCCATCCATCCACCCACCTACCTACCTAGTACCTACCTAGCTCAATTGGTACCTTATTAGTTCCTATCTACTTAGCAAATGAACACTTCGCAGACGACCATGCCGCACTCTCTCCCGTAACAAGAAGTACTTCCGTAGATTCCTTTTTCCGCTCTCTTCACCTTACTTGCATTAGTTCGTCAGACAGTTCGGTCGGTAACTACGTACCTGGGTAAGCGCGGGACGGTAGAATATGACATGTTATGTTATGCATACCCGTCCGTACGCACACATACATACACCATCCCTGCCCGGCCCTGCCCGGCTTCTTTCGTCATGACGCCTCCATCCCTGATCCCAGCTAGTCTGCCCGGAAATACATCCACTCCATCCACACCACACCACGACGACAACGACAGTAGCAAACTTATAACGATCATGGTGAGGATCATGTCGGTGTGGGCGGGTGTCGATAGCTCACATCTCGAAATTGAGGAAGGGGGAACTATACCGCCCGTGTTATGTGTGTGGATGGGGATGGGGATGCACGCGTACATATGCAGCCACCTGGTTGCGTCGAGGTGATGGGATGCGCCCTTCTCTCGCTTGCTCGTCGATGGTGTGTTCTTCGATGGATTTACTAGTTTTGGTCTTCCTGCGGGTCGAGATATGTACTTGTGAGTACTCCATAGATACAATACGGATGAGGATGGAGTCGCTTTTCAGATGGCGTGAGATAGTCAGGTCGGTGACAAAGGATCAGGTCCATCCCTGGGTCGGTACCTGGTACGGAGTAGTTAGCTTGCATTGGATGCTTTACATCACATATCTCATCCTCTTCGTATCATCAGCATCAGCATCAGCATCATCTATCTACTCTTACTACTTCCATCTTCCATCTTCTATCTTCTGCTACTGCTATTTCTACTGTGTCTGCTTGGTGCAGCCTGCCCAAACTTGAGTCCATCACGTGACTCTTCCTCACATAAGCTGAAGGACACGAAAGTCGCAGCCGCAAAGTCAAGATGAAGATGCAAGAGAAGTCGAAGACCAAAACAACCAACTCCATCGCCATCCACAGCCTCATCCCCGGTTGGTCTCGGTTAGCTAAAGGAGACAGACCTGCATACGCTCGCTGGCAGCCGTGACTTGCTGGCATTCGTCCTCTATTTTTGGTTCTCGTGCTGGCTTGCTGGCCTCTCTGGCCTGGCCTAGGTACGTCCAAAACAGCCAGCTATGCTCTAACCTACCGTAGCTTCCCAGCTGCCTGGAAGCTTACGAACACCGCTACGAACAGCTCATACTGACTTCCTCCCAGCTTCATCACCACCAGGCCCACCCTCAAACCATACCACACGACACCGCAAGAGCCCTCTAGGCGGTCGTTTTCCCATACTTATGTCGTCCCGTCAATCCCTCAGCTCATCATGATCGTCAGGAGCCTCCTGTTGGCCGGCAGCCTGCTGCTAGCCAGCGTCGTGCCGGCCGCCCATGCAAAGTCCGACGGACCCGAGATAAAAGTCAAGGAGTTCGACAAAGTGCCTACAAACCCTTACTACTTCGAAGACACAGACACCGTCATGCTGTCTGGCCACATGGCTGAACTCTTCATCTCGACAGACGCCGCGTCCACATGGGAACCTCTCAAGGATAAAGATGGCCTGCTTTTCCCTAACAGGTATCATTCACAGAGTGCCGTTATTTACGGGCCCAATCGCAAACACTGGGCTACCTTCGATGCGGCAAAGACATGGCGAGAGTTCGAGGTGCCGGAGAAACTCATCTTTTCGAACGAGGGACCAAGGCCGTTCACTTTCCATGGCAAGGATCCCAATAAGGTTATCATCAATGCAGAGGAGTGTCTTATTTCTCTCTGTCGTAGGGTGACGTACTATACCACAGATGGCTTCAAGACCATCAAGAAGCTACTTAAGAATGATATGGGGTGTTACTGGGCCGTGGGGACCCCGGTCTTTGCTGAAGGCCAGAAGGATCTGCCGGAGAAGCTTGATGATCGTATATTCTGTATCTGGGCACATATAACCCCATTTGACCGCACACGCCGCCTGATTTACTCGGATACATACTTTAGCGATGACAAGTTCAGGGCTGTGGAGATTGGCGGCAGAGAGATCAAGGGCGTCAATAATATAGCACTTATCAAGAAGTACCTTGTCCTGGCTGCCTCCTCAGAAGGTACGTCGGAAGCTGCTATATACGTCAGTAAGGATGCTGTCAATTGGGGCCGTGCGGAGTTCTACGGTGGCCCCAAGATCCGCGGAGGGTCGTTCACTGTCCTCGAGTCTACAAACTACAGTATCCAGGTCAACGCTGCCTCGCGACGATCTAGACGGCCCATCGGAAGCTTGTTCACCTCAGACTCCGCCGGTACCTCGTTCACCATGAATGTCGACGGAGTCAATGAGGATGAAAAAATGTATACCGACTTCGAACAGGTCTCCGGCATCCAGGGCATATTCCTAATTAACCTGGTCGACAACGCTGCAGACGTTAAGAGCGGACAATCCTCAGAGAAGAAGATAGTCAGTCGGATCTCCTTTGACGATGGCAGGACCTTCAAGCCCTTAAAGTGCGGTGACAAGGACCTTCATCTCCATTCGATCACCCGTCCATCAAACATGGGTAGAATATTTTCAAGTCCGGCGCCCGGTTTGATCATGGGAGTCGGAAATACTGGAGACAAACTCAAGGAGTACGAAAATGGCAACCTCTATGTCTCTAACGATGCCGGCGTCACATGGCGCAAAGCCCTGGATAAATCTCACAAGTACGAGTTTGGTGATCAGGGTTCTTTGCTCGTAGCCATCGCCGATGACGGGAAAGATGAGCTATTAACAGACGAAATCTCCTACTCACTCAACCACGGCAAGGACTGGAAGAAGGCCAAGCTGCCTCACAAAGCCGCCGCCATATGGCTCACAACAACACCTGACTCTACCTCTCTCCAATTCCTGCTGATTGCACAGGGCAAGGGCAAATCCTACGCCATGTCCATCGACTTTAGTAACGTTCACGAACGTAAGTGCGAGGAGAAGGACTTTGAGCGCTGGCCTGCTAGGCTGGATGAAAAGGGTGAGCCTGACTGTCTCATGGGCCACAAGCAGTTCTACAGACGAAGAAAGGCCGACGCAGACTGCTTCGTCAAGGAAAAGTTCAAGGAACCTGTACCTGAGACCGAGGCTTGCAAGTGCACCAAGGAAGATTTCGAGTGTTCTGCTGGCTTCAGGCGCAATAAGGACTATGACTGTGAGCCCGACGGCAAGCTGAAGCCCGCTGATGGAAAGTGCAAGAACCCCGATGACAAGTTTATGGGGCCGTCTGGATACCGCATGATTCCCGGAGACGACTGTATCAAGAAGGGAGGTGTTGACCTTGAAAAGGAAGTTGAGCGACCGTGTAAGGATGTCACCAAGGCTCCAGCCAGCGGCCAGATCGCCGTCGAAAAAACTACCTTCGAGACAAAGAATCTCAATTACCGCTACCTCGAACGCAGTGACACCAGCTCCGGAGACGACGAGACCGTAATCTTGAGAACAGATGATGGGAACCTCTTCGTGACCAGAGACCATGGTAAAACATGGCAGCGCGGCAAATTCCAAGAACCCATTCTCCAATACATACCTCACAAATACGACCACGATGTCGTCTACCTTCTCACTCAAGGCAAGAAGGCATACTGGAGTATCGATCGAGCTCACTCATTCCATTCGTTCGAAGGAAAGCTGCCTGTTACTAGAACCAAAGGCACGCTACCGTTATTTTTCCATCCCGACCACCCAGATTGGTTAATCTGGATCGGCGGGGAGAATTGCAATGGCCAGAAATGCACAGATTTGGCCTATTACTCAAAGAACCGCGGAGATGAGTGGGACCTTCTCCTTCGTGGTGTGGGCAAATGCATGTTCGCCGGCAAGAAGGACGAACTTACCGCTGACGATCTGATATTCTGCTCTCAGCATGAGCACGAGGATCCCAGAAAGAACCTCCGCCTTGTATCCAGTGTAGACCAGTTCGCCAAGACCACGTCTATCCATTTTGACGGCAAGCCGATTGTGGGATACGCAAAGATGTCCGAGTTCATCGTCGCTGCTACCAAAAACGGCACGGAGCTTCAGTCATTCACCAGCGTTGACGGCAAGACTTTTGCGCATGCTGCTTTCCCGCCGAACTATCACGTTGGCGCAGAATACGCGTATACCGTCCTGGATAGCTCGACTCACTCCATCTTCCTGCACGTTACTGATCATTCTGCCCAAAACAATGAGTTTGGTAGCATCCTAAAGAGTAATAGCAACGGGACATCTTACGTTATGAGTTTGCGTGACGCCAACCGAAACAAAGCAGATTACGTTGACTTTGAAAAGATCCAAGTCGTCGAAGGCGTTGCGATGGCGAACATAGTTGCTAATGCCGACGAGGTGAGGCATAAGGGTCAGGACAAGAAGTTTAGGTCCATGATTTCGCACAATGATGCATCTGAATGGGCGCTTATGCCTCCTCCCAAGAAAGATGTCGAGGGACACAGCTTCGACTGTAAAGTCAAGGACAAAGGAACGGAAGAGTGCGCCTTGCATATCCACGGCTATACTGAGCGACGCGATAGTCGAGACTCAATGTCTTCTGGCTCTGCCGTTGGACTGATCATAGGTGTTGGAAATGTAGGCCCGTACCTAACCACCAGGGCCGAGAGTGATACCTTCATGAGTCGTGATGCGGGTATTACCTGGCACCAAGTCAGAAAGGGCCGCTACCAGTGGGAATTCGGTGACCAGGGATCCATCGTCGTCATTGTGGCGGAAGAGAAGCCAACCAAGGTCCTCTCGTACTCCCTTGATGAGGGTGAGACCTGGACTGATTTCGAGTTCACCGATAAGGAGGTAAAGGTTGAAGATATCTCTACCGTCCCATCAGATACGTCGAGAAACTTCCTGCTTTGGGCCCGGGGCGGCTCCCCAGGCGAGCTTATTGCGTATAACGTCGATTTCACAGGTCTCAAAGAGAGAGAGAAGCAGTGTGTGCTTAAGAAAGAGTCGCCGGAAGCCGATGACTATTATCTTTGGTCTCCCAAACATCCTCAACAGAAGAGCAACTGTCTGTTCGGCCATGTTTCTGTGTATCATCGCAAGCGGCCCGAGGCCAAGTGCTACAACGGTCCCAAGCTCGATAGGTTGAGCAGCGAGAAGAAGAATTGCGAGTGTACCCGCCAGGATTATGAATGGTATGTATTTCACACCCTACTCTAAATGAACTTCATTGCTGTCCTTAAGGTTCAATGCTAATTGCTTGTTTCTAGCGACTACAACTACGAACGCCAATCAGACGGCTCCTGCGCCCTAGTCAAGGGTCTACAACCCGCAGACCCCATGAAAATATGCAAGGATGACCCCGAGGCCGTAGAATACTTTGAACCAACCGGCTACCGGAAACTCCCAGTAAGCACCTGCGAAGGCGGCCACCAACTCGACCACATCGTTGCCCGCCCTTGCCCAAACAAAAAGAAAGAATTCGAGAAAAAACACCCCGGCATCGGCGGCTTCGGCATCTTCCTTGCTATCTTCTTCCCCGTCACCGCAGCTACTGCAATAGGATACTGGGCCTTCTCCAAATGGGACGGCAAATTCGGCCGTATCCGACTAGGCGAATCACAGCCCGAATCGCTCTTCGCAGGCAACTCCCCTCTCATTACCATCCCCGTCGCTATCGTCGCTGGAACAGTGGCGGTTATAACCGCCCTCCCACTACTCTTTTCTAGCCTCTGGCGAAGCTTCAAAGGATATACCCGCCTATCCAATCCCTGGGGACAGAGACAGAGACCATATGCTTCGCGAGACGCCTTTGCTGCTCGTAGGGGAGAATATGTTGGCGTTGTTGATGACGAGGATGAGCTTCTTGGTGCTGAAGAGTTTGAAGGTGATGACGATGAAGAAGTGTAAACTAAACGCCTTTTCATTTGCTACCCTACCTACTTACCTACTTCTTTTGTTCCCGTAGCTGGGAATACATATTCTTAATGGACACGATTATGCGCACAATGTGGAGGCTTATGTTGTCTCCTACCTCCTATGTCTTTTCTTTACTGTCTTTCTTCTTTAGGCCTGTTTTGCTGACCTTCTGGAACCCTGTGTTATATGTCATATATATCTCCTTTTTTTACTCTCAATGGTCGCTGCAGGTAGAATAAATGTTCGGTTGCTCTTTCCGCTGCTACGTACTTTATCATTATAGCGATTTTATTGGCTACTATGTTACGTAATTATTTAAAGCCAATAAGAGTTCAAGTTGCACAACTCAAATATCTCCCGCGAAAGAACAACCTCAGCCTCAAAGCTCAACTACAGGTACTCGAATATATACCCTTATGTGTATACACTACACATATGACATCAGGAAGAAGAATATCCGACGACCACATGTCCATGGAGACAAGCCTCGGTCAGGAGCCGAACACTTATCTCGCCCGGATACTTCACCGGCAAGCTCCGCCAGATAAGCAACGTAGATACCCACTCTCTACCTAGGCCATGGATCCCTCGCCTTGGGAATTACCAGTTTTTCCCCGACTATTCTCAACTCCTTATCAAATGGACAGTGGACACATGATGACGAAGATCGCCCAAACTGCTTTCCCCGGCTTCTCTCCCTTGCTAACAAGCACCGTACTAGGACAGGGGCTTAAAGATACTATCAGGCAGATTACCCCAGGTAATGATACACGTTATCAGACGCTAACCTCCTCATCACACCTGGGAGATAATGGAGCGGTGCATGGTATCCCGTCATTGTTATCATTACACTTGGGTTTAAATGATAGACATGTCCTCAGCTAAAGGCACAGATATTCATTATTCGTCCATATAGTATCCTACTTCAAACGGTAGGATGGGTGATTGGTGAATAATGATATCCAAACTCCCTAACATTGACATGTCGAGATATCGACGCTTCGCAAATACTTTCACATCGTTCCGTGCTCTACATAACGCTCTTAAGCTGGAAAGTTCTTCCTCAAGCCTCGCTAATGAAGATTTGTTTCCATCGCCCCCGGAAAAGCGTACCTGGACCGCATTTGATTTCTTCGCATACTGGTAACTCCCATCTCCTCTTCTACGTTAGGAGCAGCTCTGCTTCACTTTCTCCTTCTAACATCTACCACTAGGTGGAGTGAATCCTGGGCTGTTGCGGCGTGGTCGATTGGCGCCTCGTTAATCACTCTTGGAGCAACCGTGAGAGATGCAGTGTTGGTTGTGCTGTTCGGGAACATACTTACTTCTGTTGTCATCGTGTTGAACGGAAGAGCCGCTGCGGCCTATCACATTGGATTTCCAGTACAGTCCAGAGCAAGTTTTGGAATATACGGCCAGTATTTCGTCGTGGTACTACGTGCATTGGTTGGCATTGCCTGGGGTATGGCCCGCTTCATATCCTAAGTGTGCATTCACCCTAATACTAATATTGTATTTCGCAGGTGGCGTGCAATTATATTACGAGGGACAGTTTCTTTCCATATGCCTTCGTTGCATTTTTCCCGGATGGAACCATATTCCAAACACTATACCGGCGGTATGTATTTTCTCTATCTCCCAACTTAGATCCAATCTAATTTCTCAATGGTAGAGCCAAGCCATCACTGTTCAAGGACTGATAGGGTTCTTCCTCGCCTTTCTCTCCGCTCTTCCCTTCACATTTATCCATACCACCAGGATCCGACATATGTTCAGCTTTAAGGCCATCGTTGTTCCGCTAGCAGGACTAGGGATCGTATGTTGGGCCATTACTGCCAATAAAGGGGTTTCAGCAGATAAACTAGTTGATGAATCGAAACGGAAATCGACATCCATCTTTGCATGGGGACTAATCGCCCAGCTCAATGCTGTGCTAGGGACAAATTCCGCTCTTATAGTTACAGTTCCTGATTTGGCTCGGTATTCCACGAACCGAAATGCACAGGTATATGGACAGGCTCTGGGATTGCCGTTGTCTCAAACCATATGTGCGGCATTTGGTATCATCACTACTGTGAGTATTCGATATGGGTATATTTTTTACCAGACTAAACTAACGTTGTTGATAGGCAGCCGTGAAGAACATGTACGGAGAAGCATATTGGAACCCATATGATCTTCTTAACGGTATACTTGACCATGGCTACACTCCTAAAGCACGAGCAGGGGTGTTCTTTGCAGCTGCTGCATGGGCATTTGCAACTCTGGGAACATCGATTGCATGCAATGCTGTACCCTTTGCCGCTGACATTACCTGCCTTGCGCCAAAATACGTCAATATCGTACGCGGTCAGGTCATCTGGCTGATAATTTCACTCGGGATTGTGCCTTGGTGCGTACTTTACTCCTTAATCTCTGCCTATTAAATGCCCCTTACTTACGTGACTCCATATAGGCGCCTTGTTGGTACCGCAAGCAGCTTCCTTCGCTTTCTCACGGGCTATTGCATCTTCCAGGGCCCCGTGGTTGGCATCATGTTGATCGATTACTTCTTCGTGAGACGAGGTAACCTTCACTTACCAGATCTCTATCGCCACTCATCAACCGCAAGATACTATTTCACCAAAGGCTTCAATATTCGTGCCTTTGCTGCATTTATCATCGGTGCCTTACTCCCCTTGCCAGGGCTGGTAGGGAGCTTTGGCCACTCCTTTTCCAGTGCTGCTGACCACATGTTCTCCTTAGGCTGGATACTTAGCTTTCTAGTCGGAAGCCTGAGTTACTGGGTATTTTGTACATTTTTCAAAGTTCCAGGTGACGATGCTAGTTACGCATTTGAGGAGAAGGTGGCAGATGCAGAAGAGATGATACGTCAGGGTGGGGACGAGTTGTCTCCATCTTGTGAAGTAAAAGACGATTCTTCTTTACAGATTGAAGAAATTGAACAGAGAAGGGCATCAGATCCCCTGCGGAGTATAGCATGATAATCTATTGTTTGATTTATTGGTAGCAAAGCGTCTAACACTACATGCAGGGTTAAGCAAGATATTCAGCATAGTGCATGATTTTGATGTATTTTCAGGATAATAGCTCTGTGTATGCTTTTTAATTTAGAGATCAACACCAAAGTTCACTCACCGTACTGTCTACATGGCGTTGTATGTATATATTTAGCTGGGAGGCGGTAGATCCGCAGGGCTGAAAGACGACGGTAGCAGCTAGGACACAGGTCAGTATGCAACTATTTCGCCAAAAGAAGGGGTATATACCTCTCCCATAGTGGTCAGCTTATACTTCCCATCGCCACCATACATATAGACCGGGAAGTCCAAGGCACAGAATTGACGCATACTAAAACCAGCGGTTAATGTTGTCCTGACAAGTTGGGTTGGATGGTGAAAGGCCGTCACGTAGATGTAACGTACAACTGCCGACACATGCCACATGGCGAGGCTCCCGGGTTAATATCAGTAGCTACAGCAATAGCCCTGAATTTGGTATGTCCGGCCGCCTTTTATGCCCGGATATTAACGACAGGCCAAATGCGGGGTGCAGGATCTGATATAGCTTCATACCACGGCTGTTCCCATGGCGCAGCGCTCAGCACATACGCCAACCGGGTAGCTGACATTCTCGACGTTAACGCCAGAGATGTACTCGCCGCTCTCGGTCAAAAGACATGCACCGACGCGGAACTTGGAGTAGACGCCTGTATCGCCGTCAGTCACGGAACAGATCCTTACTCGGTGAATAAACGAACAGTAGGCGCGGTCCTTGGCTGCGATGGCTTTCTGGCCGAGAGTCTCTACCTCTACGTCGGTGATTGAAGCTGCCATCTTGACTCCTTAGTACTTAGACGATCTAGTAGGTCGTTTGGCTGAGGTGGACGTCTTATTTGTATCATGTTGCTGAAGAATGTGGGGATGTAGTTGATATATAGTTGCTTGTAAACCTTGTCCCTGACGGAACGTCACGGGACCATCTAAGATCTGGCGGCTCCTTCCTATTTCTTGTAGTTTATAGGCATCTAATCATCTTACAATTCAGCGCATCTGACACAAATAGTGGGCTTCGGTTCTTCCAGTGCAGTGGACAAACTCTGATAGATACCAAACACAAAAGTTTTATACTGTTTAGATCGAGTAAATTATTGTCAAATGAAGAGGTCAGGTAGACAGTAGTACCAACATTATAAACATTTCGAATGAAATCTGGGATATATATAAGAACATCCTTCACCAGCTTTGTATTCTGGTTAGTGGTAAATCACTCGTAAAATCTCTATCCGTATTACGAATACCAGTGCCATGACAAATTCGAGGATTTCTAGTATATCTAGACTTCTAGGATATATCTGGAAAAGGTCCCAGAATAAGGTCCAAATCCAAGGATCGTATTCTAGAGGCGTCTCTAGGCCTGCCTGCGCCTGTTGGACATCCCAAAGAAACCGTGAATGTGAGAAAGAATCCAGCTGAGCACACTTTAGCTTTTCTGGCGTATTGAGAATGAGTGTGTCCCCGTGTTGGTATATACTTATTTGCTCCGTAAAACTTTCAGCCAGCCAGCATCTGAACAACGGTAGCTTTGCGGTATAGGTTGGCATTATAGTAAAGATCTCATTTGCTCTCAAACTAATGAATGCACTCCTTCTCACCTCCTCGTTCTCATCTTCGAGCAGCAAGATAAGTCCGTCAAGAGCGGATTGAGGTAGGGTGGATTGTTTTTCTAAGACTTTAGCAGCAGTCCATCTCACCTCCTGGTTCTTATCTTTAAGTAGTAAGATAAGTCTATCAAGAGTGGGTTGAGGCAGGGTAGGCTTCTCTTCTAAAGCTTTAGTTGCAGCCTGTCTCACCATCTTATCCTCATCCTTAAGTAGCAAGATAAGCCCATCAAGAGCAGCCTGGGGTATGGTTGGTTGTATTCTTAACGCTTCAGCTGCAGCCCATCTCACCCTCCAGTTCCCATCCTTAAGTAGCAAGATAAGTCCATCAAGAGTAGCTTGAGGCAGAGTTAACTGACCTTTTAAGGCTTTAACTATAGCCTCTCTTACCTCTTGGTTCTTATCGTTAAGTAATAAGATAAGTCCATTAAGAGTAGGTAGGGTGGACTTTCTTTCTAATACTTTAATAGCAGCCTCTCTAGGCTCCCAATTCTTGTCTTTATATAGTGAGACGAGCTCGTTAAGAGTGACTTGAGGCGGTTGCCATCTCAAAGGTTCAATTATAGCCTCTCTAGACTCCCAAGTCTTATCCTTAAGTAGTAAGATAAGCTCATCAAGAGTAGCCTGAGGTAGATTCGACTGTTGTACCAAGGCTCGAGCTGCAACATCCCTAATCCCAGGATGCTCATGCTTAAGTAGTAGGATAATTCTATCAAGAATGGCTTGGGGTATACTTGGCTGCTTTTCTAGGGCGTAAGTTGCAACCTCTCTTAATTCTCTACTATTTTTAGGTAGTAGGAAAAGTCTATCCAAAGCGGCTTGGGGTAGATTTGACTGTGTCTTCAAGGCTTCAGCTGCAGCCTTTTTCACCTTGACATCTTTGTCATTCAGCAGTAAGGTTATTATGCTTAATGTGTCTTCTGACAATCTTGGCCGCATGCTCACTATACGTAAAACATGCTCCCTCCCTATATGAGAATCGTCACGAAGTAGAGTGGTTATGCCAGATACTGGAAATTCTGGCTCAGACAATAGCTCGGTTGTTTTGCAAAGCTCCCATTCAAAATTCACCCATCGAAGCAGCCTGCTCTCTAACCGCTCTCGACACTCAAGGGTTCCTCGACGTTTCGTGCCGGCCACCTCACTGAGGCAATGCATAATCAGCCGCTGATGTGTTGGTCCAAGAAAGTCACGCGGTCCGGCTTCCAGCTCTTGAAAAAATAGATTCAGTGGTGTATTGCTGACCATCCCTTGATCCCATCCTGCATGAAAGAGGCCAGCAACGAAGCGCCACATTATGTCATACCGCGCGTCGTACTTCCGCTCTTGCAGAAAGTTCTTTGGTATGATCACCGACGTGCTCCCGTCTGGACCTTGGTAGAGTAGTGGCTTGTTGCTCAACCAGTGTCTCACGAAATGTCGGGCTGCGAAAAATTCCTGGAAAGTGAGATGGAGAAAGCGATACTTTTGTTGGCCCTCCTTCAATGTAGTATCAGATGTGCACAGAAACGATAGCTTTCCGAGGACAAGGTGCGCGTAACCCGGGGATTTCATATTTTGAGTCTTTAGGAAACGATGAGTTTGATCCCACTCCGTTTTCCCAAACTCGACCTTATTATTATATATACCGTCAAAAGCAATACCTTCGATGAGGTTCATTGCCTCTTTCACTTCTTCTTTGCTTTCTGGCGAGGTACTCTCCCTTGCCTCCTTCTCTGTCTCCATGTTTGCTCTTTGCAAACGATGCCGATCTTTACTCCACAGCTTGTTCACAATGGCGAGATAGACTTCAGTCATTGTCTCAGGGGCTTCATTCTTGAATGCATTGCCCCAGCTATGGCACAATGCGTCAAGCTGAATCGGAATCAGAACTAGTTCCCGAACGATCGGACGTTGTTCTAGGAAGAATTGGATCTCTTTCGTCACAATTTCGGGTACAATCCCTTTGTTTTCGAGATAGCCCATCACCTGCTCGGGCCGGAATCCAATAGTCTCCAACTCAAGGTCAATTGGTTCAAGCCTTTCCCGGTCCAACGTGTACGGCCGAGTTGTGATAATGACATAGTCTTGTGCGAGAAGACTATCCAGGAACACTTGTATAGGCTCCCCTTCATTCCATTGGCCAAATACCTCGTCCAAACCATCAAGTACAAAAAGAGTCCTATCCTTAGCTGGCCCTGTAATGGTGCGCCATGCGCACTCGGCCAGGTCCTTGGTGTTAGGGTTTGTAGAGAAATATTGGGTGAATAGGTCTCCAAGTGTGTAGGGACCATGTGTCTCTATATTCTTGAGGATTCGCAGAGGGACCCAGACTAGCCAGTCAAAATGCTGATTCCACATTCCATTGTGAATGTATTCGTGGACAATCTTCTTGCACAAGGTAGACTTCCCGACTCCTGCCCTTCCCCGGATAAGGATACGCTTTGGACTCCCTTTTTCGCCGTTTGAGAGATTTATTGAATTAAATAGATCACACAGTTTCACATCTTCGCCATCCAACTCGATCCCGACGTTCCTCGTGAGGGAAAACGGAGAAGATTGAGATTTATGCGGTGCTGGGGTATCATCCAACCGAACGACGGCCAGGTTGATGTAGCAACTTTCCATCGGTAGTATTTTACCGGAAAGCCTTTCAACCTTCAGAAGGCTCCCCGTAGTGTAATACGCCTTCAAAGCCTCGGACGCCTCAGTAGCGGTAACTGTACAAGGTGGGACTTGTGCGAGGTTTAGTTGACCCTGCAATGATAGATTCGGCGTGCGTTATCTTCTTACCTCCATATGTGTGTGTTATATTTATATCTTAAGGGAGTATCAGCAAGACTCCGTTTTCCAGCGTTTTCCAGTAGAGCGAGTAAACACATACTATTCTGTCCGCTTTCTTGGGCAATAATGTGGCCGCTGGTGTACACACCATAATTAGTTGAGTGAGCCATCCAAGTCGTTTCGCAAATAGAAAGTCGTGACTTAAACAATCACAAGCAGGCTGATGGTTGGCCCTAGCTGAGGTGCAAATACCAGCATTCAGCTAGAGCTTGAGTTAGCTATATAAGCCCTCCTGTTCAACTGATTCGTTTAGCGCCGGTACCCCTGTTGGTCTATAACGTGACAGCATCTTTTCGGTACTTCCTGCCGTATGGTTTGAATATACCCTGGCCCAATGATGCAGCCCAAATCACAATTTGGCTGGCTACACCATTGGGCTGAAGCATAACTCCCTCTTTCATCCCACAATAGAATTCGATAGATGCTTGTATAAATAGATGAGATATCAGGTGCGGAGTATCTGTTCTATCGTTGTATTCTCTATCGTGCCATACATCACGATTAGCAAATTGAAATTCGCCATGGCTGGTGCAGAGGAACCCCCTATTCGAGACGATGGCTTGAATGTGATATACGACAACGGGAAAAACGCCAAATATGAGTAAGTTACTTTATCTATTGTTGGACCACAAGGGACAAAAAGGCCTAATGTCCCAAAGATACCTTGTCTAGCCAAAGTGGAATATCCCAACATCTATCACCATCGAGTTGGGATGGAAACTATGGTCGTGGGTTGACCAAGCCACAGCATCATCTTCGTCCACGGTCTCAGGGGCCATCCTCGTAGGACATGGGAGGCCGTCAACCCAAGTGATCCGGCTGAGAAGGTGTTCTGGCCAAAAGATCTGCTGCCGACCACCTTCCCCGAGTCCCGGATCTTCAGTTTCGGGTACCTGTCGGAATTCGTGACTTTCTATCCGTCTCTAGCTCCTATAACGCACACTTCTATTGATAACATCTCAACTACTCTGATTGAGAGACTGGACACAAAGCGGCGGGCCACACACACTGTGAGTAATTCACTTTTCCTGTTGATCGACTGGGCCCGCCTCCCGCGTGTCTTGCTGATATTTTTAGCCGTGGCTGAACTTCTTCAGGAACAACGCCCACTATTCTTTATCGCTCACTCACTGGGCGGCCTAGTCTGTGCCAATGCCCTGTCTCAGCGTTACAGTCCAAACTTTGCCGGCCGGGAGGTTGTCGCCCATACACGTGGAGTCATTTTTCTTGGGACCCCATTCCAAGGGTCCTCGAAAGTGACCTGGGCAAAGACAGCTGAGAGATTGTGTCGTTTGGTAGCCGACAGCAACGACCAAATAATCAGGGATCTCGATAGGAAGTCCGATATACTCAAGAAAATTGGGACGGATTTTCTTATATTCGTCCGGGATCGCTACGTAACTCGGAATGAATATCTCCTTCAAGTGGCTTGCTTCTTTGAAACCAAGTCTACCAAAATTAAAATAAAGGGAATTAAGACGGATCTCGGCCATATAGTGACGGAAGACTCTGCTACATTAGCCAACTATAAACCGATTGCAATCAATGCAGACCATCGCACGATGTGCCACTTCCCGGACTGCGAGACTACTGGATACATCGACGTTACTGGGAAGTTGAAGCAGATGATTGCAAACATGGACAAGGGTGTCTATAGCCTAAAGGTTAGAAGGGGCTCTACTCCATAAAGTCACAATTAACTAGATATATAAAGCATGTACTGACGTGATTCAACTCGTAGGAAGCTGGGAGGAGTATTACGGTCAGCGACACTTACTTCGGTGAAAACTTTCATAACTACGGGATCGCTACTGGCAATATAATCGGAACCACACCGAATGCGAACAACCTCACTGTTTCACCTACGGTGAGTCTTGTTACTCTAATATAACTACTATATACGGAGTCCTGTGGTGGCTAACCGTCTTGTCCTGAAGTTTGGATATGATCCACGTCATAATATCAGGCCCAAATGAGTGATAATAGATGTAAAGCCGTGGAGAAGATCTCAGGGAGAGGACGGGCTAAAGTATTTATGCAAATAAAAACTACTGGGTTGCACACCGGCGGATTCTAGCAGAGTGCATAGAACACTACATAACATTATCCTTTCCTCGGGAGACCTCCAATAGTCAAGGTATTGTGATGGTGCTAGTCGAATGACGACGAGAAACGCTCTATTTAGTGCATACTATATCAAACTAAGACATAAGTCTAAAGAAGGAGGAAAAAAGAGAATGGATGTTCATCAGCGCCATTGCCCTTATATATTTGTGTGAATAGACATACACCTTTCCCAATTGGGTAGGCGAAATGACGAGTGTCATATATCCTGCAGTGTTTTCGCCCTATGATGAGCCTTATTACACCTGTCTATCAAATAGAAGGAGGCGGGCATGCCACTGACGTGCTAAGCTGCTATAGGTATTCATAAAAGGAAACCAGCTCTCTAACAACGCACGTCAAAAACAAAAAAGGTGTATAAATTCTCCAAAACACCGTGCACCTGTATCTACCAGCCATCCAATGCAAGTACGTGAATATAAAAATACCGAGACGTCAAGGTATAAAATGGCAGGTAAGAAAGAGAAAAATAGTAGAGAAATGATAAGATCCCGGGCTACTGGAAGTGAGCCTTTAATCCTTCGTATATGGAAAAGATAAAAGCGGAGCTGGGTGCTGATCGAGCAACGGTGATACCACATCCACGATACAGGCCAGCGAGACCATGCTGTCTCCAAACCGTCTTGCCAACAGACCAGAAAGAGGGCATCTTAGCACCGCTTTTGGCCGAGTGTGCAGCGATGTCCTCTGTCTGAATGCGTGATTTGATAGTGTCTGCCGGGAAGAAAATAAAATTATAAAGAACGCCTGCCGTGGCTCCGGCAATCATTTGCTGGTATATCGGTAAAGGTGGCAGGTCCTCTGTCACCCCCACCTTCCCCAGTGGTGGAACAGCAGGGCTATAATGTCGAAACAAGGCGGTTACAGCTTCATAGCCGCCAAACCAGGATGCAGAGCCGCCCGTTTCACGAATGAGGGTGCCGAGCTGCCCACGCCAAAGGCCGAGAATGCCGTGTGTTCGAAACACGGCAGAAACTATGGCTAGAGGGCGTAGTGCCTCCCCCTGTTGCTGGCCGGTGGGAACCTGCATCTTGCACTTGACAAGCTCGACGGGGGTGAGGAGGATGGAGGTGAATGCGCCGGATGCAGCACCACAGGCTAGCAGGGCAGTATAGGGGAGCTTCTCCAGCCCACCATATACATAGTCTCGGGCTATGTGCTGTGTGAGACGGTAACTGAAGAAGAGAGAGCTATTTTCGATTGCTGCACCGAGGAGGGGCGCACTGATACCACGGTAGAGCCCCCGTATGCCTTCTTCCTGCAGGGACTGACGGAAACAGTCGATGGGGCCGGTATAGCGGAGGGGAAGGCCGTCTGGTTGAGACTGTAGGCGCACTTTAACGGTATCGAATGGGTACTCGATGTATTTTCCAACCATTCCAGCGATCTATACGCATGAACGGGTTAGCTGAGCACACACACACAGAGACGCACACAACGGAGTCATTACTCACGGAGCCGAAAACAATGTCCTTTGCCGCATCGATGCCATGATGCTGTGCTCTCACGGGAAGATCAGACAATTCGACGTTCATCGTGTGAATAGTGGGTTTCTGTTTCACCGCCGGCAGAGTGTCTCCGTCCATGGTGGTGGCTTGTGGTTGTGATTCAGAAGCTGAGAACGGGAGTCAGAAGCGATAGGCCGCTATCGGAGGGTCATTATAGCGCAGCTGCGGGCAGTGAAGAGAACCATTCTTCTATTATAAATGTAGCAGGTGCCTACACGATAACTGAGAAGCCTCTGCACGGCGGCGGAACGGACTCGCTGGCTGGCGTCGAGAAATAAGAATTTAAGATAATGCGAGGAGGTTCGTCCTCCGTACGGAGTACAGGGTAGAGCTTAAGTCGTTGAGGTTAAAAATAGCCACCACGGCGATTCTGTCGACAGTCAGGCCTTTGAATTTGCGGAGAACTAATGAGTACTATCAACGTAGATCCATCTCGTCTGTGGCTTTTCTCCCTCTTCCTCTTCTTTTCTTCTCTTCCTCTTTTCTTCTTCTTGAAAATTGTCGATTTCTCTCGTTTCCATTGACCTTTTTTTTAATTTCTTTTTTTTTTTCTCTACGAAAAGCCAATGCTTAGTCATCGTATTATGGGGCTCTTCGGCCTCGGAGTAACCTAAACACGGTTATCTGATCAAAAGATAAGATCCGGCACTAGTCCTCTTTTGGACACTTTTTTCCCTCCTCCAAAAAAAAGAAAAAGAGAAATAAAAAGACGAAGACAAGGAAGCAAGAAGAAGCAGAAGAAGAGGAGAAGAACACGAGAAAAGACGGGAAGTTAGACGATAGGAAAGATGTCAGAAGCTACACAAGACCCCGTTGAGGTGGCCTCGGAGAAGTCACCTGCTGTCACTACAGATACTGCCTCGGGATCGTCAAAGCCAAAAGGGATGCGGAAAAATGGTAGTTATCATCCTCCTATCTACCATTCTCATGATTATGGGACTCTTACTGATGTCTATTTGGATTGGTCCAGGTAAAAATTGGCATGCGCCCAAGACAGCGTTTAGACCGACGGCCGGACAGACATCGTACGCAAAGCGGCTGGCCGAGCGGAAAGCCATGTCCGTGGTGAAAGAGAAGGAGCAAGAGATGAAGGACGAGAAGGAGGCTACAAGAAAGGTCGGTTTATAACCTAAGAAGCCAATAGAGAATGTCCGGTACTAAGACCATTTCTTTAGGCTCGCATACAAGCTATCAAGGACCGACGAGCAGCTAAGGAAGAGAAGGAAAGATATGAAAAGCTGGCTGAGAAGATGCACCGCAAGCGAGTCGAGCGGATGAGGAAGCGCGAGAAGAGGAATAAACTGCTCAATTCTTAGACTACACGGGCTTCTTTTTGACGGATTTTTCAGCATGCGCGGGAGTTTGGAGTTACCATAATGCGGTTTAAAAGTCGATTTTGGATGTTTTGCACAGATATGAGGATATACAAACACAACTAGCTGTTGAATACTGGCTAGAAACTACAGATGAATCAACTAGGCTAAATATTCTAGCCCAATGGCACATTTCGGCTGGTCTTCTTTTCTTATCCTATGAGGCATTGAGACCTGCTCCACACGGATTAGCAGTAGTGAAACATCTCACAGTACTTCCATGCTAGAGATTCAGCCTTATACGTAACACATTGTAAGTCAACCAAGCTATTAATATAGAAAAATGGCATCCTGGTAGTCTGTATAAAGCAATATAAACAGTATGTGGCAAGCCGTTTTGTTTATATCTGCTGCAGGGTCCCTAAGGGATGACGTAGCCAGCCTCAGCTCCAGCTAGAAAAACAAACCCTTGTCAATAAAACTATTTAAAAACCACCAACCCCAGACACCTTGCTGTTCCCCTTAGTGAACTATCTGTGGAGCGCATAAGAATAGCGAGCTGTAAGCTGTGCTTAGGCCAGAATATATTGAGACAGTGGGCTAGGAGGAAAACAAAGAGAAGATGGAGCAGCAGGAAAACCTCAGGATACCCCCTTTGGCGCTGCCTGCCGCACAGCACCCAGCAGCAGGCGGCCCCGATGACAGCAGCGAGATGCACACAGCTTCCCCACCACCGCAGCCCTCGCCTCTCCTCGTGCCTGGCAAGGCCTATCCCTCGCTCCATAACAACCTCTACATCCCGCACCACGCAAGCATACCGGATCCGTTGCTCTTCTCGCCATCCGAGGACAGGAGCTCCGACGTCGAGAAACGCGGCCGTCGACACCACAGACACCACAAATCACGGCATGAGCGCGACGAGAGACACACGAGGAGCTCGAGCTTTCCCATAGAGCAGGTTGCGGAGATGCCCTTCCAGCTGGGCAAGAAGAAAGCTCGCGCGGCGGTGGCCGAGGCGGAGGAGAAGGCAAAGGCGCGGGAGAAACAGGAGCTTGACGATAAGACTCGCCAGGCCAAAGAGGCCAAGGAGACCAGGGAGGAGCTGGCGAGCCGTTTCCCGTTCACCAGGACGAGGGAGGTGGTCACTCAGGTTCGTCTTGATGACCTACATATGAAGAGACTCAGGGCTGAGGCGTACGTTTTTTATCTTTCTGTTCCTTACCTAAACTGGCTGTGATACGAGGGGAGTATATCATACTAATATACGAGTGCAGTGCGAATAGGGATGCTTTTAACGAAATTAACGAGCACTCGGGTTCATTCTCCAAACGCCTCGAGGATACGTGCAACAACCTACTCACCGACGCCGGTATAATCCGCGGTACTATCTCTAATCTCCAACGGCTCAGTAACACCGCTATGTCGCAACATAAAGAGTTCCAATACCGTACCGTCGGAATGGTGCGCAATGCCGAAAGACAGGTACAGAAATTTGATAGATTCCAGCGCCAGTTGAAGAGCATTGCATTGCTCGAGGATCGTTTGAAGGCTACTCAGGAGAAAGCTAAGAAACTCGACAAAAGACTCGAAGTTACGCGGGACAGAATTTACGCCTGGGACCGTGAAGAAGACGAGTGGCAGGAGAAGATCAATAGGCGCTTGAGGATGATGGGTGCTGCCATTGTTTTCTTGCTTGTTGCTTGGGTAGGAACGAAAGTCATGAGTAGAGTGTATCCTGACTACTCTATCTTCGGCTCTAAGGCTAACATTACCCTGCATGGAGAGTCCCCGGAATGCTGCGTGGCGGCGTTTGACCATGCAAAGCAAGCTACCACGACGGGTACTGCAATTGACACTGCAACTGGCACTCCAACCGGCACCCCAACTACTGGACGTGCGAGACCTGCCTTCAAAACTCCTATCGAACTGGACGCCTTGGAGGAGCCATTGCAGCGGATAATCGACGAGCTGTGAGCTTGTCATTGCATGTGATACCCTACCATTAATCGCTACTGTGGTTCTACCAATGTTTCCAAGGAAGGTAGTAATAGGACCTCGACGCGGTTAAATGAACCATGAAATATCCAAGGAAGTAAACATGAGGTCGGAGTCTGAGGATCTTTGAATTAATCCGGAGTTGTTTTTACTGTATATCTTACATTTGCATATGATACCCCCCATACGGAGTGGAGTTTACCGGAATCAGAGTTGTGTTGTTTATTTCAATCTATATCAATTCGTAGATATATGTAATTCTGTTTCAATAATTTATCACACGGCAAGCCCTCAACCAAAACATGTCGTGACCCTTTCATATGCATAAGCGCGAAAATATAAAACCAAAAGATGCATCTCCCGTAGGCATGTTCCAAGCGCGTAAAAACAAACAGAGAAAAAGAAAACAAGAAGCCTGCCTGCAAGTTCCCAGAATAATCATCACCGGGAAAATCCAAGCACTCGCCACGTTCAACTCATCAAGCATCAAGCATCAAGCAGGAGGCGCCCCAGCCGCAGCTCCGGTTTTCTTCTTCTTATCCTCCACCAATTCAAAGTTATCCTCTGGAACATCCTTGTAATTCTCCAGTAACCACTCCATCACCTCATCGCTGACATCGCCTTGTACGGTGATCTCTTCACTTGTCCCAGTCGCGGCAGCAGCACCAGTCGCCTTCGTCACCGAGCTTCCGGTAGCAAACTTCTTGCCTAACCCCTTAGCCACCTTCTTGTTGTCTAAACCATGTGCCTCGAGACCAGATATGACAGTGACGAATTTCCGCTTATTCCGCTCCACGCGCCTAATAAGGATCTTGGAGGCGGCTTTCTTCTCATGCTCACGGGTTTCTGCCTGGGCGGCTTTGGCTTCCTTTTTAGCGGCATCTTTGGCTGCTCGTTCGCGGGCTTCAACTGATAATGCGGAGAGGTTTGCGGCGATTGTTTCTGTTCGTAGGAGTTAGACTTCTTTCGCTGGTATGTTCGGAAAAGGAAGACAGTGAAGGTACCATCTGAATATAGCTTCTGGTAGAGCTCTGGGTTTGATTTTTCTAGCCATTCTTCGCACTTTTTTTTTGTGCCGCCGAATTCACAGTACTAATTGTATGGCCTTGGAGTCAGTCACGCGAGCCCCTGGGTGCTTCAAATGGTATCAAGAGGTAAAGGTATAGTTATTCTCAGAGATGGGCTGCATCAAACTATCCTCCGGGGAAGTAATCCGTACCTCTGGGGGAAGAGAGCACACTATAAAAAAGAACATTCAATGTTAGCCTTCATCCCACTATAGCTTTGGAGGGGCAGACACCGCGGCTCAAAACCAAGCTTACCTCCACAGTATACTACGTGGCGGGCTTGAGGCTCAGCAGGCGCAGAGCCGGCATCTCCATTTTCAGTATCAGCCATGATATCTCTTTGTGTATTTGCTGTGATCTATAGAAACAAGACGGCAAATGTAAATGTTTTCTTCTGCTTCTTTTGCTTCTACTTTGGCTCGAGGGGGAGGATTGAGATTATGTAATACAATGACTAACGCCTACGGATTAAATATACTCCTTTTCCGCGCTGCTTCAGCCCCACAAAAGGAAAAAGCGACAACGTTTGCAAAGATGAAGCAAGAGAAAAACATAAACATTGCGGACATTCAAAGACAGAAAAGTCATTGGAAGAAGCCAGTGAAAGAGAGCGGGAGATGGGAGATCTTCTGGCTGTCCTCGGAGGTTGACGGGGTGATGCTGGCACAGAGTTGCAGTAGCGCACCATGGACACCTGATAAGCGGCGTTTCACCAAGCCTATTTGGACAGGCAATCCCGGGTGATAACCTCGCGAGCGTCATCGAACGTCTCTATTCTGATAGCAAGTCAAGGAAAACAGGTCAGACAATACGGTGTTTGAACTGCCTGGCTCAATTGCAATATGGATGCTCAACTTGGCTGACTAGCCGAAATCGTATATTGTATACGGGTGATACGGAAGATACAAGTTGACGGAGAAGACGGCAGAGACAACGTCATGAATATAACTGCGCGTGATGCTTGACTGCATGGATGAAATCTTGCCATTTCTAGTCTCGACCTGCCCTAGAACGATGACCGGTGATATTTTCTAGGGCTATCAAGGCTGGAGTTCTAGTCCTTCATATTTAGATACCGAACTTGGTCGCTGCACCATTGTCCGGAGAAGCAGTTAAGCGACGTCTAGCTCTCGAGTGTCTAGGAAGTATACTTATACACTTGCCTTGAACTACTCGACCATCATCAACACTGCAAATAGACCTTTTAAGATTCCTGGAAGGGGGTTCTTCATCCAGGGTCCCAACCTGATTTTCTGCAGAGCCCGCTGCTTCTATAGGGCCCCCTGTCTATATGTGACGGCATGTTTAGCATGTCAGGGCGGCCAGTCTTTTGGCTGGATTTTGATTCAGTTGTGCAATTGAATTGCTGCATACACGAATAGCAGCTCTAGATCACTTAAATTGCATAGCATAAAAGCTGGCAGGGAGGGGTGAGTTTCTTTCATTTACCTGGACAACCCACACAACCGAGCTGAATGGGATATGCATGGCCGTTAAGAAGCATGGTTTTCTCTGTTAAATGCATGTATGTATTGCGCTGGCTCAGTCGGATGATCCCTCAACACCAGCCGCTGGGCAGCATGGCTTATCAACTGGACCGGAGATAAAGAAAACAGCTCATCGACATCAAGGGAGATAGGACAAGCCATCAATCCATCCATCCATCCTCCCATCCACCAACATTACATGCGTCCAGGCTACATTCGTATCAGAAACGCTGCAGTGGTGTGCGGCCCAGAACGCTGATTTCCGCGGCATATTTCCTCGTTTTATGCCGTCGAAAGTGGGATGGGGGAAGCTGAATGAAGGAGATGATGGACATTGCATACGGGCAAGCAAGCGATAAGTGCGTCTTCGGGCCCCTCCTCCTTCCTCCCACCAACCCCTCGTCCAGCCTCTTGTCGTACAAGGATGCGATCTTTGACATGAACAAGGGCGGAATATCGTTGGCTAGTGAAGTAACTATGTACCCTGTGGTACATCACCCAAAGCTCGACGTTTAAACAGGCCGATCGTCAAGGGAGAATCAGAGGCCGTGTTGTAACCTGGGTCTCTCGCCTGGTCAAGCTCAAATATACGACCACCGCCAATTGGCCTGCAACCAAATAACTAAACGATCATAAATCCCCGCAGTTCGTAGGGAAGCCTCCATCGCTGCCTTAAAGATAGGCCAGGGCCCCGTAACCCGCTGGCGGAGTATTTCGGGAGAAGCGGGAAGTCGCTGCACGATGAGGGGAGCAGCGGAGAGCAGAGCAGGAGAGAGAGTGGGAACAAGACTGGATCCCCTCAAGGTTGTGCTAAAAAAGGAGCATTGTGCTCCGATGTAAGATCTCGATTCCAACATCCGAACCCAAGACCAAGAACCAAACCCTGGAAGACAAGACGGAGAAAGAGGTCCATGCCACGCCATCGGTTAACTGGAGCCATCAAAGACAAAACAGACACAGTCTGGCTGCAGACTTCCCGTGTCTCTCTTGGTTGACCTTGATCTTGTTATGGTTGCTCTTGTTAATGTTGTTATTGTTGTTGTTCGCTGGCAGCACAGGAGGTCTCCGGTCGAACAAGCTGCAGTGCACAGCACACGGCTTGCGCCGCCGATAACAGTCGCACCACCGCACTGGGAGGGAAAAGCAAATACGGAGCTTCCAACTTCCCTCGAAGCTTGATATACATAACTACATCATCGCCCTTGGGAGGAGGGATATGTATGTTATGTTTGTACCCTAACATGGCCCGCGATAGGTATACCATGACTTCACCCGACCATGGGCGACTCCCACACGTGGAGTAAGGGCTTGGTCATCGACTTCTCATCTCGCTACCAGCATCATAATTTGCCCTTTTGCCTTTCGATGATGTCGGTATCTGACTCAAGCTGCGACAACTAATTTTGCAAACCGCGGGGCGGGGCCGAGGTCCTGGATATACGCACAGAGATAGTATATACCCAGCTGTGTGTATATGTGTGTATGTGTGTTTGTGTTTGTATGTTTGTGTGTGTGTGCATCTACACGGGCCGGCCATCTGGCTTTCATCGTGGCGAACAACCGGCTATCTCACCTGGGCTTTTTTGTAAGGCTTTTCCCAGGCATGTCTTGTCCCTCTTTGCCTGGTGGATGTGGATCTGGATGTCTGTCTCTTCTTCTTTTCCCCCCTTTAACTACCCGTGTATGTCACTAGTTATCAAAGTCAAGGCACTCCCAGCAGGCTTCCTTGATCTGCCTGAATCCTCTAGTTAAATTGTACTTGTAGGCTCCGCGATAAGCGGCAGGGAAGGTTTCGAGTCTAGTATCCAGACGGCGCCAGTAAGTATAGCAGTAGTGAGCAGTCAGTAGTGAAAAAATCCAATAGACGAAAAAGGGCCCCAGATAAGGTACGGAATACGGAGGCCAGTGGAACCAGGAAGACTCTGCTGCTTTTTCGCCTCTTGACTCCTGCCTGATATCTTCCTCCCGCGGTTGTCTGGGTCTGCGACTCTGGCCCAGGGCGATTTTCACCTGCAGAGCGAGTCAAGGGTCAGTCAACGCCCGCTGAGAGACAGAAATATAGAAGAGAGAGGGAGAGACAACTGCGCTGTGCGATACAGAGCAAGGAAGCAGCCTCATCCATGCAACCGACAGCGAGCCCAAGGTTGTTCTAGACTTACTCTCTCGTCGTACCTTTTGTCTGCCTTTCTGGCCTCTGTCTCGTCTTTTCTTCTTCCTCCTGTGCTTCTTTTTTGCAAAACTTGCATGTTTGCTTTTTGCCTCCTTTTTGCATGGATGCGAAAGGTTGATTGTGTGTGTGTGCGCGAGTGTGCGAGTGTTGCGATTTGGCTACTTATATTAGTTGCTACTAGCAGAGGCCGGCCTGTGGTATAATAATATCAACACGCCTCCCGCCCGCCAGAGAAAAGAAGCCGCCAGAGACATACATAGCATGAGCAGCGAGGGCGCCGAGGGCTCGAGACGTGTCAGCGACGGTCGTCAATTGAGTGTGCAGTGAATAATACTGAAAGCTGCTCCTCCTGGTTGCCGGGCTCTTCCAGTTCATATATTTACTTCCCACCGCTACGCCCGACTCCAGCACTCCCCTCCCCTTTGCGAGCAGACACAAGCGATGCTAGTGGCGGACTGAGTATCGACACTACGCTGCTCGTCTTCTCTCTCCTGGAATAGATATCTTGACTGTCGGACAGCGCGGGGAATAACTACGGACTGCAGATATGGCGTACAGAGCGGCGGACGACAGCTTCGTGGAGCGAGAGCCGTCGAGACATGTCGACTACCTGTCGCATCCGTGGCGCGAGGAAGACGTCTGGAGCTCATGGAGATACATCGCGGCCAGAAAGGAAGACTACGAGAGTGGACACAGACTGGAGAACGCTGCATGGCGTTCCTGGGCAAGGATACGGTTCGGCCTTGGGTGGTTCCCTGCTGAGGCTCTGAACTGGTCAGTCAAACCTCAAAGATGATATATGTATACATATATATAAATGAACACTGGACTGACTACTTGACAGGCAAAAGGACATCGACGTCACTTGGCTGTACGGGCCGCTGCAGGTGCTGGGCGACGAGGCGGACGACCGGTCGAGCACTGCGTCGCCGGCTCCCTCGTCTCCAGCGACGTCAAACTCATCGCTTATCGATAAAAAGCCGATCCTCAAGAAGCGGACCATTTCTCAATCGATACTGCAACGGACTCACTCCAGCCACACGTTTCTGCGTCTGGCCAACGCCCTGATCAAGGCCCAGGACGGGGCGGATGGCCGCTACCTCGCAGACTACCCCGTCGAGATGGCGCTTGGCCTGCCCTCCGACAGCTCCATGTCGGGCCTCTTCTTCCAGGAGAACAAGGGGGATCTGCCGGACAAACGACACATCAGCTTCAGCAACGAGGTTGCACAGTGCGTTGCCGTCGAGGACGACGACGAGCCGTTTGATGGAGAGTATTACGGCTACTACAGCCAGGCCCCGGATGGCTCTGTGGTAGAAGAAGACGAAACCTCGGACGACGGCGTCGTGATGGCAAGACACTACCCGGAGAGGCCATCACTCAGCTCACATAGCAGCACACCACGCAGCAGCTTCAGCAGCGATAGCAGGATTATCGCACACTTGCCCTCCACCACTCTCAAGTACCGGCCTGATACCCCAGAGCAGAAGCAGGAGACCCCGCGACCCGTACGACCTACCTTGTCTCGCTCGTCTTCAGCTGAAACTCTCCGTCCACCAAACCACCATGTTGCTGCTAGAACTTGCTCTCACGGAGACTTCTTCTTGGACGAAGAGTATGGAGTGGACGAGGACTGGAATACCGGCTGGGATACCGATTGGAATGCCCAGCAGACAGCACCCAGACACCAAACTTCATCTTCATCTTCTTCATCCACTACTATCCCTACATCTACATCTCTCCCGTCCCTGGCAGGCCAATGGTTCGGTAACTCGAAGGCCAAGGCTAGCATCAGCGAGCAAGGGAAATACTTCTCCTCCTCTGGTGTCTTCATGCCATTTGGGTATGGCGACAACAGCTCTGATGAAGACTACGAGTGGCCCGAGGAGGCTGAAGACACAAACTCGGGTCGTGGCGTGATCGATCGGGTTATCGACACCGTCAACACGGCCAGAGATATCGCTCATGTTATATGGAATGTCGGCTGGCGCGGCTGACTAGCCGACCTATATTCCAGGACATGCGTACGGTCCATCTCTATGGTTCCATACCGTTCCAAGGGGGGCCGGGTTGCTGCCCAGCTTCGGCATCATCTCCACCGAGCTGGTTGATCGCATCCCGGCCATGTCTTCATCAAGCCGAGGCATCAAACCCCGTTAACATATACAGCCTGTCTATTGATACATTTAAACATCCACACGTTTTTACATTATCATTATCGACGGAGGCCGGGCTACTTGACTATCTCCAAGTAGGACTCATCCCGCCAATCCACGAGACAGACAGAAGGTTCCCGGCTGTTCATCAACAGCTTCTCTACCACCGACTCTCATACCGAAGTCAAATATCCATCCGTCCAGCGATGGACAACTGGTTCGTTTTCACCATAAGCCCCGTTATTACCACAATATCGGAGTAAGGATACAGATACACATAAAAAAAGTGTTTTGGAAATAGATCTATGAAGTTACGATTGACGCATGACCGCAGACTCTGCTTAATTAACTATCGCTTGCTTGTCTCTTTTGTTCATGGAGCTTTAAATCTCGAATACAACTAATTACTGTTACTTCTTGTTCTCCTTTTATTTACTATCCTTCCAGGTGTAGTTGTGGCCCTCGTATAGATCTGTAGCCTGTCAACCCCCTATTCTCCTGCCTCTAATCGCAAACACCACATAACACTGGTACAACCACCACCTCCTGGACATCTTCCATGTCTATTGCCTCCTTTCCTGTCCGAATAAACGTATCAACTACCTTTTAATAGCCCGTCAACTGCTTCGTAGGCTTGTATCCAACTTCCTCCCCCGGCCCTGCAAGCATCATGTGACTGTCTAGGGGGTAAAAGCGCAGAAGAAGAAAAGAAACGCTGGGTTTCGGCGCAAAGAAGAAAAGAAGCAGAAAGTCGCGATGCAACTTGTCAACTCTTGATCGTAATATCACCACCAGTATTAATGCTCTGGACGCTGCCATTGAGACTCCACAGCAGCGCCTGCGACCTCGAGGACCCTGCTGTGCGCCCTCCAGGCTCCCCCTCGACGCCGTGGCTGTTGATTCCAGCACTTGGCTCAGTTAACTAACTCCGCGCCCCTTCAATACCTCCCTCGACCCCAGAGCCCCCTGCAGCAGCGCGATCGATCTCGTCTTCCTCCTGCAGGCCGGCCGGCGACTATAACCGCACTGGAGTGCGTTAGCGGAAAAGTGTAGCTCGACATTTCAATTGCGCTTCGATTCCGGGATTCTCCTGACGCAGAATAAAAGGGGAGTGGGAGCATAACAGCCACAGCACTAGCTAATACCATAACTACCTCCTGGAGAGGTACGCCGGCAGCAGGAAGAGACAGTCGTGACAAGATGGAGAGCGTGAATGTATCAGAGCTCGTCGAGCGGCTGGGGAGCGACGAAGATGCGGTGCGGAAGATGGCTGTGTTCAAGCTGCAGTCGAATATAGGGGATCCTTCGTTCGCGGACATCTTCATCGCAGAGGGAGGACTGACCAAGCTGAAATATCTCTCACTGACGGCCTCGGGGAACACGCTCGCATACAGTCTTACCTCGTTCGCCAGGTTGTTGGAAGTGGACAAGGGGTGGGAGTTCGTACAAACCGACCTGATCGAGAGAGTACGTTTTGCCTTTTGGCACCCCCTCGTAGATGTGAATGCATCTGACTTACTGATGGCCTGCTCTCTAGATTGTCCAGCTTATCGTCACTCATCCGCTTGTTAATATCCTTCGAGGCGCAATGTCTATACTCGTTTCCATCGTTTCACACCCTCATACCTCTGGTCGCTCTTCGGTGCCGGGAATGTTTGGCTTCCAGGCCCTTAAACCAGCCATCGCCATCCATCCACAGTTCCTAGAGATGCTGGTCAGAAGGCTATCATCCGCGGACCACGCTCTATGCGCCAATGCGCTGCAACTAATCAATTCGCTGATGAGAGATTCGATATCGAACCAGGGCGAGAATGAATGGCCCAAATTTATCAAGCGATTACAGGATCTCGGCGTGATACGCGCCGTCTACGTACTTATGCAGGGAAGCGCGCTGCAGGATCTAGCCCACCCACTCATCGAGTTCCAGTCTCTTACAAAGTTGCTCCTGCGGAAATGGAGGGAGGTACCCGTTGATCTGGAGAGATCAGAGCACCGCAGGGCGCTAAAGGGGATCCACCTGGCTAGCAACCCCGAACGAGCTGAGAAGGATTCTTCCGCTGGTGCGAAGGAGACCAACTCTGGGAAAGATGCTGCGGATAATACGGCAGGGGACGGTGCTGCTTTGCCTCACAAGTCGTCCAAGAGACATCACCCGCATAAATGGCGCCGCCTTGGATTTGAGTCCGAAAGCCCTCAGTGGGAGTTCCAGGAAATGGGATTCTTGGGTATGATGGATTTGACTGATTACGTCCGGAGATACCAGGATGAGTTCCAGAAGATGCTCCTTGAGCAATCTACTCGACCAGCTGAGCAGAGGTGCCCAATTGCCCGAGCTTCTCTGGCCGTGACATCCGTGTTGTACGAGCATTTCGAAGTCGACAAGGCCGAGGTAGATGACCCAAAGAGCTACCTTGCGCTTGAAGCCAAGACGAATTTCGATAAATTGTTCAAGCCAATCCTCCTTCACTGGCCGAGACTGCATGTTGCTGGTTTGCACGCATTCTTCCGGCTCTGGAAATCTACTGCGGCCGAAGTGGAAGATTTCTCGAAGATAGTTGAGTTGGTTCGGATATTAGTCGAGAGTGTCATCGGTGGTGCTTCGCGCGTTAAAGATGTGCTGGAAGTGGAAGAGGAGATGGCTGACTTTGAGTATCAGCGCCTCAGAGAGCTTCAGATGGAACTGCTAGAACTCACGTACGAAGACGTATGGGGTCAGCATCTACACCAGGTCCGAGAGGAACTGCATCATGAGGCATTGCAGTTCGTCAAGGAGCAGCGTGTCCGGTGTTTGTTGCAGGGTGCTTGGTTCCCAAGTACAGAGTTGAGTTCGAAGGCTGCGGCCGATAGCAATGGGGCGGCGGACAAACGAGGAGTGTCGACGTATCATAGATACATCCAGCTCTCGCATAACAGGCGGTTCTTACACTATGGAGATTTCGAGTCTGCATCCGATGACTTCAAGCCTGAATTGGAGTCTCTATCCAATAAGAGTATGTTTCTCTGCTTCCACCCCCTGTTTTTAAGAGAGCTTTGCTAACGTGATTTTACTTCAAGTCGACCTAAGCACCGTATCTTCCGTCGTCTCCAATGTATCCGCTTCTCCGGACGATTCGTCTGGCTCAACTATCAAAACGCTCCCTCATACCGCCAGCGCATCAACTAAAATCACAATTCACGGCTTAGCCAAATCTGCTTCATCAGGGCCCCATGAATCACCGAATCTCAGGACAGAGAGCAGAGCTACTGATTATCCCGGCGATGAAAATCAAGGCCAGAATGAAGTTGTGCTGCTTATTCTCTACCCTCAGTCACACAGCATAGCATCCGAGTGGCTGGACGGACTACTGATGCTCCTCAACCAACAGCCCATAACCGCAGAAACTAACAAGTTAATCAATCTTATCAGCAACTACGGACTGAAAATTAGGCTGCTGAATGTCCGCTTTGATGACGCTGCGTTTACTGGTGACTGCCCTGAAGTCCCTAGTAGGGAGGGACTGGACGATGACTATTATTATGATATTTTTGGAGGAAGCTGACCTGCTGCCTAGACGAAAGAATCTATATACCCTTTTCTTCTTTATTGTACCCTTAATTTAATTCTTGTATTTAATCCTTTCCTCTTTCTCTTCCTCTTCCTCTTGGTGTATTAGATATTAGATCCTGAACCCCTATCCCCTGATCTATACCAAGGTTTGATATCAGTACAGAGCAAACAATGCAAACATCGACCTCCCTTGCAAACCGTCTTAGAAAAAGCAACATCGCGACCTCTCCAGGCACCTGAAGACACAACCATCAACCACCCGCTTAGAATCATGCACTATGGCCGATAGCCAGGTCGCATCACTCATTATAAGACATTGAATCATCCGCTAAAGGATGTAGCCTTCGAGTTTTTGGTGTTTGGTTTTCCAGCGTTTCTCGCCATGAGCACTCCCCACCCTCGAAAGCGACAGCGGAGACTCATAGTTCATTCCTCAGACGACGAGCTCGAAAGCCCAGTCCCAGTGAAGGGGAGACAGAAGCCTCAAGTCCAGGGGACGTATAAAGGGAACCGCTCTTTGAAAGCTTCACGAGAGACTTCAACGGAGCCCGCAGGCGGCAACAATCGCAATGGGACTTTACAACTTCCGCTCTCCAGTCTACCTACAAGAACTTCCTCACAGAATCGACCGCCTCTCCCCGAACGATCCTTGAATGACGTACTCAGATCACCGAGTAAGGCATCCTCTGTCCATTCAACTCGCACGAGTCCTGCATCTTCTCCGGAGAAGAAGCGAAAGAGCACCGCAAAAACCAAGAAGAACTCCAATGAAGATAATACTGGGCAAGCTGGTAAATCACTACGAAGCTTCTTCCAGCCGGCCACTGAAGAAGAGAGATGGAACAGATTACAATTACAACGGGAAAAGGAGCGAGAGAAGGAGAAAGAGAGGGAGAGGCAGATGCTCCTAGAACTTGAACATGATCTATTGGAGGATATGATTGAAGACGATGACTCTTTGGATGAATTATTATCCCAGCCACGACAGAACAGCAATAAGAGTGGAACATCAAGTTTCCATGGTCACCCTGAGCTAGATCGGCGGAAAAGAAGCCCTCCTCCAGGTCAAAAAGGGATACCAACTGCTAAACCAGATACGAAACCAAGATCAGGGAAAAGGTTCATACTTCATACAGATAGTAATGACACCGGGTTGTCATCGCAGTCGACCTTTGCGTCATTTGGGTCATCTTCAGCGCCCGTACAAACAACTGGGAAGCCATGGGCGGAGCAATTCGCTCCAGCCAATTTGGATGAGCTTGCCGTGCATAAGAGGAAGGTTGCGGACGTGCAGAACTGGCTGAATGAGGTTTTCATCGGTCGAAGTCGACGCGTAGGTAGACGCCCTGTTGCTTGCTGTTTTGCCTTACTTTACGACTGTGCTAACTTATATATAGCGCATACTTGTGCTAAAAGGACCTGCGGGCAGTGGCAAAACTACAACCATTTCACTGTTATCGAAAGCTCTCGGGTATGATATCGTAGAATGGAGAAATTCTGCTGGAACAGAATATTCCGCTCAAGGATATGCCTCTACTGGGACACAGTTTGATGACTTCCTTGGTCGTGGTGAGCAATATAACTGTCTAGACTTAGATGGTGAAGCTACTGCTTCAACTCCCAATAGCAGTGCAGCCTTGCAATCTTCAAGACGGCGTATAATACTTGTGGAAGAGTTTCCTTCATCCCTTAGTCCTGGATCATCTGGGTTAACGGCATTTCGGTCCGCACTTTTGCGTCATGCTGCCCCCTCGCTACCTTCAAGTTCTGCCAGGATGACGGCTCGTTCGGTAGAAACCCTGAATACCCCAATTGTTATCATTGTTTCCGAGACCTTACTCGGAGACGGTACCTCTTTCTCTGATAGCTTTACTGTCCATCGTCTACTAGGGCCAGAGTTATCCAATCACCCAGGAGTCGGCATTATTGAATTCAATCCGATTGCGCCAACATTTCTCACTAAAGCTTTAGACCTGGTGCTAAAGAAAGAAGCGCGCTTATCTCACCGAAAACGTATCCCCGGACCTGCAGTCCTTAAGCGGTTCGCTGAAATGGGAGACGTTCGCAGCGCCATTTCCTCGTTGGAATTTATCTGTCTTCGGGGCGGCGATTATGAAGGGTATAGTGGGACACTCAATGGTCGTCCGAAACGCCTGGGTAAAACAAATCCTCCGCCTACAGCAATGGAAATGGAAACTCTCGAAATGGTTACCCAGCGGGAGGCCAGCTTGGGGATTTTCCACGCTGTTGGTAAAATTATGTACAATAAAAGGGACGAGCCGAGCTCCTCGGCCTCAACCCGCACTGGCTTAAGGGGCAGGAAACCTTCCTCGAAACCCGGAGGTCACCATGATCTGGTATCTCAAGTTTCCGTCGACGACCTGATTAACGAAACCGGAACAGATATCCAGACATTTTTGTCTGCGTTACATGAAAATTATCCCCCATCTTGCCATGGCGATTTATTCACCGAATCCTTGGATGACTGCTCCGAGCAGCTTTCTGCCGCGGATATCCTGGGCATCGGGAATCGTCGGAATATGCAATCGGCTCGTGGGCTTGGATCTGGACGCATTGCATTTCAAGGGTCTGGTACCGGAATTGACATCCTACGCCAGGACGAAATTAGTTTCCAGGTTGCTTCGCGGGGCCTTTTATATCATCTCCCTTTCCCGGTCAACCGGCGTGGGCCAGATGCGCACAAAATGTTTTATCCTTCCTCAATAAAGCTATGGCGGCAGGCCGAAGAAGTAGATGGCCTAGTTGCCCTTTGGATGCGACGGATAATGACCGCCTCTACGACTTTACTCAATTCTGACAAAGCACCTCGGCGAACCGAGGGGGTAGCATCCTGGGGAATCCGTGCTCGGATGCCAAACACTCCACAGGAAAGTGGGCTTGATAGCCAGGACGTGGCGAGATGCATGATATCTCGCAATGAAGTCATCTTGGAACGACTTCCTTATATGAAACTAATATCCAAAGACATGAGTGAACGAAAGGAAATAGGAAAGATAACACAGGTAAACGGTTTGATACGGCGGAGCCAAGAAATTGAGGAGGATGATATTCATGGCTATAATACCCATTTCAATTCAACTATGGGTTCTCCTCGGAAAAATCGAACGTGGCAGTCAAAGCCAGCAACATATAGTATTACAGGCTTACCCTCTGTTGAAGAAGAGGTAGATAAACTCGTCTTGAGTGATGATGATATCGAGGACGATTAATGGCTTTTTTTGCTCCCCTCGGGGATATTGTATATATGTTCTTAATAGTGACATTTTGGAAGCATGAGAATATCCTACTGGCAGCATTCACCTCACTTCGAGTTTACAACCTACTTATATCTACACGCTTGCGATCGTTGTCTAATGTTTGTCCGCACCTTTCGCAGTCTCTGTCGGAGATAAGATCAAGATCCGAAGATAAGATAAGATAAGATTGCAAGTTTTTCCGTTCCAGATAGCGGGAGACGACATCGCGGCGGTCACCGATTTGATGCAATATCCTTGCAGGTGACACATTCCTAATCCAAATATTCCTTATATATGCAGCGCTCATTACGAGAGGTATTGAAGGATGCAATGATTCCAAAGCCCTTTTTGCACTGTTTGTCATACTAATATCGGTTTAGTAGTCAGGTCGTTTGCTTCACCGTAGGCAGCCCATGACCGGAAGGCGAGAAGAACCGAGAGGTTCTCAAATAAATCGCCGATCTAACGCCGTATCACGATCTACGACTCTCGAAAAATATAGTGAGCCAAATGGCGTAGCAACGCCACAACCGTTGGGAGCGAAGGACCATAAACCGAGTAATGTGGCATCTGCAATCGTGCAGTCGACTGTGCCTGCTTGGCTGAATATTGTGATTATTGCGGCCTTTATATTTGGAGGATGTTGCTCAAATGTATGTCTATCTTGCTACTAAACTGTCTGGTGGTTTGGGAGTATGGGCTAACACGAAAATAGGTGTTTGCCCTGGAGGCTCTGATACAGTGAGTCGCGCCGTTGATAGCATCGGCGAAGAATTAGGTCAATATAGGTTATAAATGCTAACACTTGATAATTACTTGTAGAGATGATCCTAACTATGGTATGCGGGCCTTCTCTCTATCCCAGGTATTACGTACAGGTACTAATAAGAACATAAAATAGGGACCCTTATTACCTTCGCACAATTCGTGATCATTGCACTTCTTACATTTCCGACTATTCTGTCCCCGGCCGCCGGACCCAAATCTCTCTTCATCCTAAAACCCGCCATTCCCTTGAAATCATGGGCTATATATACCGCATTTTTCATGTCGGTGAACTTACTCAACAATGCAGCCTTTATCTTCAAGATATCAGTGCCTCTTCACATCATCGTTCGAAGCGGCGGGCCAGTTGCTTCAATGGTGGTTGGATACCTGTACAACTCGAGGAGATACACGCCTATGCAGGTTATTTCGGTTGCTATTCTGTCTGCGGGAGTTATCGCTGCAGCTATTGCCGATGCCAGCGCAAAAGGGAAATCATTGGATCTTGGACTGGCGGCAAGTGAAGGGTCCTCTATGTTCATGACCTTAGCAGGGTTCACGATCCTCGGCTTGGCAATGGCTTTAGCTGCCTTCCAGGGCGTATATGCGGATTGGTTATACCAGAAATATGGCCGTGACAACTGGCGAGAAGGCTTGTTCTATTCGCACGCCCTGTCCATACCATTTTTACTTCCCTCATATCCTCAACTATACCCGCAGTTGAAATTCCTGCTGGCATCTCCATCTGTGAGCAGTGTCATCAAAGCCAGTTCTGCCACCGCACTCACTTCTCAAAGCCCATCCCAATTCCTTGCACCAGTCTTGCCATTCCTGGATCTCCTTGCGAACCACCCTTCAACACAACCTATACTTTCCATGGTTCCGATCAAAATATCCTATCTTCTGCTTAATGGGTTGACGCAATACCTTTGTATACGAGGCGTCTACCTCCTATCTGCGAAGACCTCCTCTTTGACAGTGGTTATTGTGCTGAACATCCGCAAGCTCGTATCACTGATTCTGTCTGTGTATCTCTTTGGCAACGTTCTCACTTTTGGAGTACTTGCTGGCGCTATATTAGTGTTTTTGGGCGGTGGAATATACGCTTATGAAGGAGCAAGGTTGAGAAGACAGCAAAGCAAAGAAAAGAACACATAGATATAGACCTGTGTTTAGAAACAGGCTTAGAGTACTTTATCGGGGTATTAAGATCCTCGAGGAAGTTAGATCTACATATTCTTAAATACATAGTTATTCCATGAGTTGGACAGGCAAAGCTGGCTTCTTTGAGAGGACCTACGGAGTATAAGGGGCTGCCTATCTTGGGTTGATAAGAGCCAAGCATTTTTTTTCACGTGACTCACCTTCGGCATGGGCCTGGCTCCAGGCTAGTTAGCCACCAAATGTTCTCTAGGTCAACAACATCTTCACAGCAACATCTTCACAACAACATCTTCGCAGCAACATCTTCGCAGCAACATTTTCACAACATTTCCACCTTCACAGTAGCAAAATTCTATTTATCAGGAGGCAGCACGCTTCATTTATTCTTAATACCCTTACCTTTCAGCAAGGTCTTTGATACTCTAGGCAGCTACGCATCCAAGCCATTACCAAATAATATCAAATAATAGCCCCAGGGTGCGATTTTTCCCCGAGCTAAACATCTTTAATCTATTATCGCTCTCGTAAAACCACACAGGCCCGACGAAGCATGCACATATAATTAACACAGGAGAGTTTGGAGTGTTAATGGCATCGCTTAAAGCCAAAAATGACGATATCCAAACAGCGAGAACCATTATGCTAACAAGCTACGGCACCGGTATTCTCGAACGAGGATACCCCCTGCCACAAAGCAGAAAAACAAGCGCAAGGATGGAGAAAATGATCTGGATGATGATCTGGGCGTTCCAGTCGGGACGCGTCTGAATCCTCTAGCGGAGCAAGACTGAACATGAAGGTAGCGACATTACTGAGTCATACCGCATTTTCAACTAAATTATATGATCTGCATTCGAAAGTCCCAGCAACCGAAAGCAGCTATGTTCGAAAATGACAAGAAGGGCTCAGATGGCGGCATGTCCTTTTTTTTTTCAATATACGTGTAGGGACCCTTACGTCAAAGTCCCTGCAACACGAGGCGAATTAGCACTTTATATTGGACAGTCAAGTGCTAAACTGTGTGCCATTGTGAAGTTGTTAAGCAAATACAAATCAAGACGAGTCCTGTTCTTTGTAAAGAGTCCCATGACTCTTTACTTGACAATTGGATTCCTCGAGCTACTTCAATATACCACCCTGGCGATACACGCAGGAATATCTTCCGAGGAGAGGGACCTGGTTGCAAAGAACTTCAATAAGCCACATTTCAATGTTGACTGTCTCGTCGACTGCCTAGAGGATGACATAGACCATGATACTGATGACTGCCTCGACAATGAAATCGTTTCCGAAGTTGACGAAGAGCTAAATGGCAAGGATGGAAAGGCTGTAATAGGTAAGGTTTTTGTTATACGTGCATTACAACCTTCCTTCGTACCTGCATGAAAAGAGCTAACGAGTTACTACTTTCTGCATAGCTTGTCAATATGTCGATATTTTTGGCAGAATCATAGCCGGCGAAGCACATGTGTTGAAAACCATGCATCAAAACACCATGCTCTTTGGATGAGCATGAAGGCCCGCCGACCACTAGCACGGGCTCACTCTTTTGGTTCAGTCGTTTTGATATATTGCCTCTGTGAGATGGCTTCCGATAGCGTGCTAGGCCTTCAGGCTCTCCTCCGACAGACGGAGGAGCGGGCAGCAAGAGCGGAAGCACGACAACGCCAGGCAGAAGAGCAATAATCCCAACAGAGGAAAAGGCTAAGCTAATATGTAACGCAGAGCAGATAACAGCATCTACTCTAGTCCAGGAGTTCCATATGATGATTAATGAGGGGCTGAAATTTTCATATATCACTAATGGATTGGCCTATGGAGCCGGGAACTCCTGGGTCTGGAAGGACCAAAGGAGGCTTCCAAAAACTAGTTACTGGATAGACTAGCCGAAGAGGCCAAGCCCGAGGGCCCGAGTCTGACGGCAGCCTCCCGTGCCCTAGTATGGGCTGGCGAGGTCGACGTAGCCAAGTCAAACTGGGACTCTGATTATAGGTCCTCCTCGTGGTTCTCCACGTACTACTGCTTCCATAGGGATGGAACCACTCCTTCTAATATTCGGAAAATCGACTCATTCGCGGACTCTTACTACCTGGAGGGTGGTAGGCTCTGCATTCGACATTTTAAGACGGGGCTTTCCCTAGTCTGTGCCCCGGAATCTCAGGTCCTGAACTCCCTGAAGCGAGCTCATGACTACAACGGACATTGGGGCAAACAGGGCACATTGGCCTTACTGCGGAGACATGTGTACTGGCCCAATCAGTCCACCAATGGTATGGGAAACAAGCCTTGACCATGAAAGAGCACTTATACCAAGAAATGAGCTCCGACAAACTCTTCCAAGCTTAGAGTATATGCCATCCTCACCTCTAAGCTCTCCAAGTGCAGACGTCCGTCAACGTACCACTCGATCCCAGGCTAGCTGTGCACCCCAAAGTATAGCCTCACGGACAGACAACACGGACTCTGATTCCAACTCCCGTCAAGCTGCTCCCAGACGGAAGCGAAATTTAAGCGATCTAACATCATCGCCAGTCAACCAACAGCCCCAACACCAAAAAGTGACCGCGCCGAGAACGACTGCACGGGTACTCATGACCGCGGGCGTCTCGGCGATAGAAGGGGGACGCGCAGATATCGCAGTCGAGATTGATTCGAGCCCATGTGGTAGAGCACCTGGACTTACGGCCTGATAACATACTATAGAATGAAGAATTAGGACGGGCCTTGGTAATTGGCTTCTACCACTCCAGGCTGATCGCCCCATCAGAAATAAAGACTCCAAGGGGCGTTTGAAGGCTCTAGGGGACGAGAGTGAGAAAAGGGTAGGAGAGGTACTGACTGTACTGAATTTGACCATTCGCAAAATCGCACGGCTATGAGTCGAAGCACATGTCATTCCACAACTGAAGGCACAACTTCTGCTAGGAGCTGACACGTTGACACCTGAGGGCGTCATCATAAGACTTACAGCACAGAAGAGCTACATTAGGAGCCTGTCAGAAATTGCAAGTTCCCATTACAGTCGTCGCTAAGAAGTATCACTAACAGAACAGACCTGTATATGCAGCCCGTCAAACTGTTATCCCACCATATTCGATGGCAAGGATTCCGGTTAAGCTGAACAAGACAAAATTACCAGAAGACCGCGACTTCGTCTTTGATCTAACTTATACCAAGGTCTCTCTTCACATATCTTGCAGATGTAGGACTTGACTACAATAAAGTCGCCAACTATACCAGTCAGCCTGTCACAGTCTAACGAAAGGCCAGGCTCGGTTCCTTGTCTGACCGGGATGCCACAGCAGTATCACAAGTTGCCGCGCATGCTGCCGACTTCACGACCACGAAGCCAAACATCCAGATTGACAAGAAATCAGCCGTTAAGGAGCTCAACAAGTTGCCAAATGGAGTTTCTGTTTATGATTATTCAAGCACGGTTGACAGGTTGGCACACGTTATACATGCTCATGACATATGGGGTGAGCGTATCATATCTGACAGAGACCCAAAGATTTTAGGGGTAAGGCTTCCTGGAGTCAAGTGTATTAACCATCAACCAGCAGTTGGGGAGATATTACCGAGTTAATGATTACTGCACTCAGTTCGTCTCCCGCGACCAGGCTGCATTTGGCCGTAGTGAAAAACATCGAAAGTCAGATAGGTCCCATGCATGTTGTCGCTTATTCACTTTGTGTGGCAAGGCTAGCTCACCATAAGATCGGTATCCTGACTCTGGCAGCTCGCAAACAAGCATCGGAATAAGAAGCATGAGCCGTCAAAGTATATATTATGAATATAGATGTAGACCCTGTATTGGATATATTCATCAGGGCGTAGAAAATGGCCAGAGTTGAGTCAGCAGAACTTGTTAAATGTCTATCCAGGCAGCCACTCAAACAGCAGAACCTTCAAGGTTGTTAACGACTCCCTAAACCCGCAAGGTAGCGCCAGCAATATTGTTATTGCTAGCTAGCTAGGCATTGAAGCTATACCATTGATACACGCAGAAGATACCTTTCTACTAAGCTGTCGACCTTCCATGAATCATCATACGAGCCAGTATTGTCATCATCATCAAGCATACGGCTGCGTCGACGAAAGGATGTGCATAACGGATATATATACTGGCACTTTATCCACGCTGATACTTGCCAATGTTGCCCTCGCATCTTACCGTCTCAACAACAACGAGGGAAGAGCAAGTCTCCAGGGGCTGGCAGGCAGCGTAGCTGGTCTGTTCAGAGATCAAACCAGTGGCCCGCAAGACAACAAGGGACTTGTGCTTACTTTCCTCCCTGTTTATGTGCTTGTAGTGGCTTCAGACTGGATGCAGGTTAGATATCATTCCTCATTCAGCCTCTAATAAGGCAGCCTTGCGTTAGGATATATGATCTGACCATGAGCTATACTCATACCAGGGCCCCTATTTCTTCCCGTTGTACAAGGAAACTCTTCAGCTGCATGACCATGTCATTGCAACGCTCTTTGCTACGGGGTTCGTTTCTGGGGCATTCAGTGCCTCATTCGTAGGCAAGCTTGCCGATGTTTACGGACGTCGAAAAGCGTGTCTGGCGTTCTGTCTAATATACAGCCTATCTTGCATCATGACAACCTCGTCATCGAACGTCTTTATTCTTTTTCTTGGGCGAGTCCTTGGGGGTATTGGGACGACTTTACTCTTTACGGTCTTTGAAGCATGGCTTGTGGCCGAATATCATCACAGAAAGGCTGCGAACGATCCAGCAGAGCTAAACCAGATATTGGGGACAATGACCGTCCTGAGTGGAATGGTTGCAGTTTTGTCTGGGCTTGTGAGCAATTACCTTGTCTCGATAACGGGTTCTAGAAGAGCTCCATTTCTCGCGAGCCCCGTCTGTCTCTTGCTGGCCTTTTTTCTAATTTTGGGAACATGGGTACGTGTTGATACCCGATTCCAATAACCGAAACCATGCTTATAATGGGCCTTACTATAGAATGAGAATTATCTTGGTAATTCCGATGGCTCCGTATCGGAGGCTACGGAGGGCCAACAGAGTGCTAGGATATCGACTATAATTAGGGGTAAGTGTTTACAACTACATCCTGCCATATAAGCCTGTGCAAACACTGACTCTCGTTGTAAAGATACCCGTATCATGACACTAGGGTTCACTACTATGATAACTGAGGGATCTATGTACCTCTTTGTCGCTTTCTGGTCACCTGCAATCATTGCAGCCAGCAAGGATGACGGTATGTCTAACAGCCCACCATTCGGGGTTATCTTTGCTAGCTTCATGACTGCCATGATGTTGGGGTCTCAGGTAGCATCTCAGCTCATGGTCTCACCTCCTTCGCGAGAGGATTCGCCGCCAGCTCCTTCATCATCATCGTCGTCGTCACCATCACCAGAGCCACGAGGCTATCCATCATACGATGTCAATAGCATTAGTGTATCCCGATCCTCTCGTCTACTTACCATCCTTTTATTCCTAGGGAGTATGAGCTTAATCTGTGCCGTTGTATTCCCGACTACGTTGCTCACTCTCTTTGCGTTCTGTGTCTATGAATTCAGCATTGGACTATACTACCCGAATATGGGTGTACTCAAAAGCGTCATGATCCAGGATAAGGATCGAGCAGGGATATATGCTCTATTTCGATTGCCGTTAAACTGCTTTGTTGTTGCCGGCCTGGCTTTCACCACAGAAGGTGAGACATGCGTTCCAGGATAATCACCCAGTTGACACCTTCACACATTTCTCAAGTCGTTGTTGCTAACAGATGGTATTGACGAAGGTGGAGGATATAGAAACAAGGTCTTCATGACCTGCAGTACTTTGCTGCTTGTCGCCATGATATTCTCTCATTTCTTTCTTCGATGAAGGCCATATTGTACTCCGTAATGCCGACCTCGATATTTCGATCGGGCTATTATGTATGGTGCGGTGTCTGCTCCACTTCAAGGTCTCATCGATGGTTTAGATGCAAATGAGACACGCATACCAGGGAGGATTGGTATGCACAGCTGTATCTCCTATTCTGGGAACGGGTTATTTTCGGCAGTGATAGTTGACTTCCATCTGGACATTCCGGATACATGTCTGATAATCTGGGCTGCAGTATGCACCGGAAGCGCCGGGCCTTTCCTTATACACCCCTCAGACCCAATGATCCACGGTAGCTTCCAGTGTTTTGAAACTGCGGCAAGCAACAACTAAACAAAACTGATAAGTGTCTCCCGTTTCATGGAGTGTTTGACGCGCACACAGGTGGTATTTATGGCAAGTTGCTGGAGCAGCAATATGTTACCCTGCAGCCGCGATTCCACCAGCTTCTTCCAATCGAAATCTTGGAAGATATCTGCAGCTTTCGGGCCGATCTATGCCGCGATCCATGGACCAATACCCTCTGCGACTTTATCTGGACTGCATTGCCGATCTGCAAAGCCAACCCACGTCATTGGAGACGGATATCCCCAGCACAGTTGCTGCAAGCCTCGCCAGCTTTGGATGAGGGGTGCGATTCGATTCCTAAGTTTGTATTGCTAAGCGCTTCTAAGGGATGCATGTTGTAGAACGGACTGTCTCAGAGTACTCTGAGACACGATCACAGAGGCGAAGCAGCCAGCCGTCAAGTGTTTATTCCTTCATCCTCGATTGACTGCAAAAGTGTTTTGCTTTTTTCTCTCTGTGAAACCTCGGGGCGTTGATACTCGCCCAACAGATGGAAAAAAGGGGAACCTTCCTCTAAAGCTAAATATAATAGATACTTTGGCAGGCAGTACTGCTCTGGCTAGACATAAATAGAAGACCATTTCCTGCTCTACTCTCTTCTGCTCAGAAACAAGAACCAGAATCAAAAATAATAAAGACCATCCTCTCCGAGCTCAGCAGAAACAAACGATCAATCAAGCCAGCCAGCCAACCTCCTACACAGCAATAATGCAGTTCTCCAAGATTGTGGCTTTGGCCCTTGCCGTCGTCCCAGCCTCATTTGCAGCTCCAGTTGATAAAAAACCACTGGTGAGGAGAACATAGCTTCTACGGCCAACTCTCCCGCTGAATTACCTTCTGACTTACCTTATACAGGCTACCATTTACAAACTAGCCAATTTCGAGGGATACATGCAAGCTGTCGATAGGCCAGAAATCTGCTCTTACATGCTCCCAGATCAGTATGTTTCAATCACCTAATTATAGGTATAATATCCAGTAAGGCTCATTTATTATAGCAACAACCCAATCGGATCGTTGAAAGTGGCTGAGGGAAGCACTTGTCAGCTCTATGCGTAAGTCATGCCTTTCTAAGGATGTACAACTATTGCTAGTATCCTAACATATACCTACAGAAGCCGTGGATGTGGTGGAGAACCAATCGGCGAAGCCACTTCGGATCGAACAGACCTTGTAAAGGAGGGCCTTACCGTCTACGCAGTTACCTGCGCTTAGGTGCAATTTATTCCTCATCTGCATTATCAAGAGATATAATTTGAGCGTGCTATCTTTTTCCCTTGTCATTTTTGTGTGCCTTCTTTAAGGTCTTAATATTAATGCGTTAATGAAATACTTCAAGCGTCTACGACAAGCTATCCTCTCCTTTTTCTCATGCTCCCAGACTTATCCACACTTATATCCCGGAATATATGTGTTGATAAGTATATACACAATACAGTATACCATAGCCTTTTTCACTGGTTAAAATGATGCAGGTTCTCAGCACTTAATTCTAGTGTCAACCGCTATTCAACTCCTTACCCAACCTGACATACATAAGTATGGGGTTTAAAGCCTAACATGTGCGGCTTACACTAGAAAAGCACAATGATAGTTGAACTTTTAGGCGCCACTCATTAGGCAGTTTAGTGTAGTCCAAGTATCAAAGGTCTTCGCACGGAAAGATACTCTGTTGAGACAACTTTCAACTTTGATATGTCTTCAGCTGTGTTGAAGTACGTGTTTCATCAATATAGTCTGATGTAGTAACCCTGTTATCCACATAACAGTATCCTACTCCCAGGCAACTGTTCCGTATATCGTATATTCCTAACGCAAGTTAGCCCATAATATATCTTATATACGGAGTAATTATATAGTGTGTTTCTTCACAGCGGTTAGGCTCCATAGACCCAAACTTGAAGACAAACCGATAGGAGGAAACTGGCCATTTTCAGCACTTATATCATGCTCGAAGCAGTTATTCGCCCTCAGCTCACTGGCGAAACAACTACTCCGTACTGTAACAGTTATTAGTAACCAGCGGCTTTTTTCCCGGAGTAGGAGTTGTTTCTGCTCCTGGTCCAACTGATAAGCCTGATCCACTTAGTAGTTAGTGAACTGGTCAAGGAGTTTGGGCCCCTCGGAGGCCCGGAATTATATCAATTGCCGTGTGAAAGAGCGTCCTGGTCGATCTCAAACCGCTGAACACCAAATTCAATCCACATTTCGATGGATGGATGGATTGGGAGCAATGGTCATCGGTTTTAGCTGCCGGGGAACCAGCGGTTGACAGGGTGATCCACATAATCAGCCGTATATCAAAGTCTATTAATGCCGGGATCGAGCACATCACGGCTCGTGTACTCCGTAAGTTGATCGAAATCCGTCGTGTATCACCGCCACGATCTCGAGTCAATCTCAAAGGAGAGATCACACCGACTAAAATTTCTCGAATCGAAACAGATATTCCTGGTTGAATTTCTCTATTTATCCGTACACTTCCCGTAACCCATTGTCAAGGACCCGACAACTTCTGCCTTGTCTCCAAAAAATAAAAGAAAAGAAAAAACCGAGTATCACCAGTATATATATGGGAAAAAAATGGAGACTTTAAGAACCTTAGCCAATCGCATAAATGCAAGCAGAAAACCCATGAAACTTTTCCTTTCCCTTCGTTAATTACTCAATTGCAGAGACTCCACCGGGCTGGAGAACAGGGTTGACCTCTTCATCCTGCCACTTGAGTTTGAACTCCTGCCCAAGTTCCTTCTTCACAGCTGCTTGGACGGCTTCGAGAACGTTGGCAAAAACTCCGAAATTGGCGGGGTTGTTGGTGTCGTTATCGCCTCCGTTGAAGATACCAGTGCGAACCAAACATGTATTCCAGCCATACATGTTACCGCCGCAGATGTCCGACTGAGGGTTGTCACCAACCATGTAGATGTTCTTGGGCAGGGTATGTTCGTTGTGGATCTCCTTCATCCATTGCTGTATGACGGTGTCTGCGTATTTGTATGTTGCAAGCTCCGGCTTTCCGTATACAACACGCTCTAGGTCCCCACCTGTTAGTGTCTTGTATTGGGACTCGATAGCAATGCGGAAGGCTCCCTGAGTCAAACGGGGAAGGGCGTGCTCAGTAGGGAAGATAATGTCTCCCTGAGAGAAGTAGATTGGGATCTGGTTGGCAAGAGGGTTCTTTGCCCTGGTCTTCAGCCGGCCATTTTCACTGAGGAGGAGGTCCAGAATGATTTGCATATCAGTCTGGTAGTCTCTGGAGTCGGCAAATACCATGATGGCATCGAAGTTCAGATTGTCAAAGTCGCGTATCTTGGCTTGTTTACGCTCTTCATCCGACAGCTGGCTCCAGGGGGAGATGGTCGGGTCCCATGCCTGGACGTCCTTGGTGTGGACAACGGTCTTGAACCCGTAGTCCTCAGCTACTTGTCGGACCTTGAATCCCTCACCGCCACAGACAAGAACGGTATCGTAGTACTCTGACAGTGCTTGCATGGGGGTGTGTGACTGGATGAACTGCTCGGTGGAAATTGGTGATTTGAGGATCCCAGAAAGCTCGTCCACTCGGGCACTCTCGGTCTTGCCCCCACCATTGGTCAGCAATATGTATGGCAGCTTTATGCCGAGCTCGTTGTCTCCATTCAACACCTCCATTACTCTGGCAGCCTCAGGGATCAATTTTTTGCCGTGGACTAGGACACCATCGATATCGAAAGCAAAAGCCATGTTCTTGGCTGCCTCAACTTTTTCCTTTGCCAGGTCCTGGATCTGTGAAGCTAGCACATCTCGCTTGAGGCTTGCGGGGTCTCGAGAGCCCGATAGTCTTGAAGCTCGTGGGGATTTGGGGATAGGCAGAGCCATGCCAAACGAATTACGGGATCCCCGTCTATCCTGAAACGATGGGGATAGGCTGAGGTTATGCATGAGAGAGCCTGCATCGCTGATCGAACTTCTCAATGCTCTCACTTCAATTGCGTTCCCTTGGTCAGATGGAATGCTGAGTTGGCCGCGTTTGACGGCACTATCCCTTCTCGACCATTCGGTGTCTTGCTGAGGTTGAGACATGATTGCGGTGGAAATAAAGAAACGTTGAAAAAGAGAAACGAATAGTGATAAACTGGTGCTAGGAGTGGTAGATACTTCAAGTGAGAAGTATATAAAGTAAGGGTAATTGATAATGAAAGGAGGTCTCTGTTCAATCAAATTTTGGATATCAATGGTGGGCTGAGCCTTGCATTTATATACCCAATTCGAATAAGGAAACTTGTCAAGGAGGTCCGAATTTCATGAAAAGGAAAAGGAGTCAAGAGACTTCTTTCCCTCGGAGATCTTCACAGGCGGGATTCTCATAAACATTCGTGCAAACCATTGCAATGGTTCGAAACAAAGATTCCATGTCATAATGTGACGTTATGTGGCAACCGAAGGTTCTCATTGGACCCAAAGAAATCTGAACTCGCTGCCAGTGGTTCAATGTCTCTTAAAGGTATCTTTGCAAGTGGATAGCCCGGTACAACATCAAATTGGTTGTCCTCTATCTTTGTGTGCTGTGGATAATATGAATTGAGAATGCGGTTAATGTCCGAGTCAAGTTGTAGGGATCATTTCCTTCCACGTTCCCCACTGGCCCGAAAGCCACGACGATCGAGTGGACCCTACTCCCCGTCTTGGTAATAATTGGACATTGTCACTCCTCTGTTGGCTGACATAGATTATCTCTGGGTACAGCTCAAGGGCGTCTGTCTCCATTGAATCCACTCCCGGGTTGTTTGAGGCCTCAAAGCACATGCATACAGTAAGCATAATATACCCACCAGTATCCGCTATACTCAGGAGAAAGGCAATGTGAAAATTGAGTTCAAAATACGTCATAGACGTAGGCGGATGGAGTCGATTCTCCATAACCACGAAAAATTCTAGGGCACATTGCAGCGGAAAGGCAATGGGATTCGAGGGTTCAGTCACGGTTTCAACTCTATCCTTGAGGCCTTTCTCGAGAAAAACATCGTCCTGCAGTTCCCCCAGTCCTTATTGAAAGAAGATCCTCCAGAAAAGGCAACATAAGACTATCCATACCTAAGAAAGATACCGTTCGTGATAGGAATACGGGGAGATTCATAGTGCATTACTTACTACATTGATAACGGTTGCTTGGTGCGCAATGTCTCGCAATATCACTTTCAAATTGAGCAACGATGTCACCATTCCGGGGTTGGGTTTCGGTACCTTTTCCAACGAAGGATCGAAGGGAGAGGCGTACAAAGCTGTGCTTCATGCACTGCGGACCGGGTACAGGCATCTGGACTGCGCCTGGTTCTATTTGAACGAGGATGAGATTGGACAAGCCATCCAGGATTTCCTCAAGGAGAACACCAGCGTGAAGCGATCCGATTTGTTCATCACTACCAAGGTCTGGAATCACTTGCATGAAAAAGACGAGGTGGCATGGTCTTTAGAAAACTCGCTGAGGAACCTCCAATTGGACTATGTCGACCTTTTCCTAGTTCACTGGCCAATCGCCAGTGAAAGGGATGACAAGTACATGCCAAAGATTGGCCCTGACGGCAAGGTACGATATTCTCTCTAGGAATGGGCGCAGATGAGGGAAAGACTCTAACAATTAATGTTATGTGACCAGTATGTGACCAAAAAGAACCTGACCGAAAATCCGGAGCCTACATGGCGGGCAATGGAGGAGCTGTATGAATCTGGCAAAGCGAAATCGATCGGATTATCGAACTTTACCATTCCAGGCGTAAAGCAGATTCTATCGTTCGCAAAAATACCTCCTCAGGTCAACCAGATCGAAATCCATCCATTCCTTCCGAACACGGAGCTTGTCGACTTTTGTTTGTCGAAGAATATTATGCCAGAAGCATACTCGCCACTCGGTTCTCAAAATCAAGTTCCGACAACTGGCGAAAAGGTCGGAACCAACCCAATACTGAATGAGATTGCGAATAAGGGTGGTCACACCTTGGCCCAGGTATTGATAGCCTGGGGACAGAGACGAGGGTATGTGGTTCTACCAAAGAGCTCAAACCCTCAACGAATCGAGAGTAACTTCAAGGAAATCGAGCTATCCGACGAAGAATTTGAGGCTGTCAATAAGGTGTCGGAGGGTAGACACACGCGGTTCGTTAACATGAAGGACACCTTTGGCTATGACGTTTGGCCAGAGGAGGCCACGGAGTAAACTTGTTGCTCAGAGTCCTTGTATATACAAAAGCAGACCCGGCCATGGTCGAGTCGGTGGGCGGGCATGTTTATATAACACATAGAGATGTCATATGGTCATGTTCACATAGTATGACCGTTAGTCAATTCCAGGCCTCGTGTTAACTATGTGACATAATCTCGTTGGCTCTTGGTGGCATGGTGGATGTGGTGAGAACTCGTCCAATAATATCTCACCCCGGGGTTGGACTATTTTCCCTTTGCAGAATTATTGATCTGTCAAGGCATTAAATTGTTGCATGGACCGTCCTCCACGTCTTGGGCAAGAAATATTGACAGCGGCCAAGGATGCTCCGTAGCTAGTTATGCTGAATCATAATAGCCTCATCAGGTAAAAACTTGCTCAGTTAACTATTCTGGACACATTTCCACGTATGTATGCTGGTTGAAACGCTGTCTTCTTCAGCTGCCAACGCTTGACTCATGGCTATTGTAAGTATGTAGGATCACAAGGGTATGATTACCGGTAGTTAGCGCTGCACCGCCATGTCCCCCCGCTGGCGGGTTGAATTATCGGCTAGTCACACAATAACCTTTGGTTTGTTGATTTCAGAGCATGTTCCAGTTATAACGTATACGGAGAGTACGCTCTTGTGAGCAACCAGATGGTCGTTACGTAGACGCTTGCCCACTTGATCACTCGTTATTGAACTCCTGACCTCCTGGTAAAATGACATCTAGAACGCCGTCGTCTGGCCATGATCTGGGTATTTCTTGCTCCGCCCATTTTGTGCGAATCTCCGTCACTCACAGCCGCGAGATCTGGTGTGGCTCTGCACGCATCAAACGCTGCCAAGGGACATGGATGACCCGGCCTGCAGTGGGCCGGTAGCAGCGCTTCGGTGTCGCTGCAGCCACACAGCTACCCAATATTTGCTTTATGCCACGACCGCCTAGTGCTTGTTAGCTGTTGCTGGGACACATAGAGGGGAACAAAAAGTGCTCCTCAACTCACATGAAAGGCCACTCACTGGCCTGGTTGAAAGGGCGTCGTAACGTTCAGCTGGGCTGTTGAAATCCTTCAAAGAGACCTCGATCTTTAAATAAATAGGAAAAAGCAAACAGCGTACGGAGTAGTTTCGAGTATATGTTTGAGCAAGGATTTGCTGTCATTGCCGCTGCTGTTGCTGTGGATGTTGGATGTTAGTTCGCTGTGTGGTTGGCTGGTTGTTGTTGTTGGTGCTGTTGTTTCTCGGAGTACAGAACTCGGAGTTGACGTTCGAGCCCGATTTGGTAATTCGTCATCGTGCGCCAACAGAAAAAAGCAAGAGACGGCGTCTTTTCTCGTCATCACATCCACACATCATCCAGCTCCGTCTTCTTCATACCTGCGACGGCTGCGGCGGCAGATTCTCGAGTAGCATTTACATAAAACTACTAGCCAACTACCGGTGCTGGGCTAGTCTTGGGCTTATTGGCGTGCAGCAGCTGTGGCTAAAGCCGCGTCGCAGGTATATATATACAGCTACTCCCGTAAGTACTTCCACTTTTGCCGACACAGCCACTGCACCCTATATACGATATCTCCTGTCCGGGACTTCTAGCTTACCAGGAGAAGTTGATACCAGGCGCTTGCACAGCTCACACGCTCTCCTGCCCTACCCGCGAAGCTCCGTTCCAGCACGCATACTTGCTGCTACATATACCTACCTACCTGGCTAACCGCCGTGCTCAGTAACTATCAAGAGGCCAAGCAACCTTTCCAGCAGCCACAATAATGGGAGTTAATACGCGGGGTAATATGAACGGGGAGAAGGCCACAGGGAGCAGCGGAAACCCCTCAGCGCAGATATTGACGGGGAAACAGGAGCACTGTGCGTACCTGCGGGGATAACTACTCCCTTTGCATGCTGGCTCGAATAGCTTAGCCAAAGCTTACTACTTGACTAATTCGGTTCAAATGACTTTTAGATCTCAAGCGGGAGTTGGTCGGCACTCAGGTTTCGAGCGAGATCGTTGAGCTCAACTCTCCAACGGCCCTACGACGATTTGGCGCCCCGTTCAAGTCGGACTTTGGAGAAATAGCTCCTGTCGACTCAGAATTACCAATTCTACGGTATATATTCGTCAACCATGTCCGGAACTTCCCATTTCTAGATAAGGCACACGAGAAGGAGTTTTGGCAAGATCGTCTACAAGTGGTATGTTTGAGTGGTTACCCCCCGCCAGCGGCTAAATTCGTAAATTTGCTATTACCTTACCGTTTTTGTGACATGCTAACGTTATACTCTACTGAACGGTAGTTTCTGGAGTCCTTTGCCAATAAGAACATCTCATCAAGCGAAGACCGACATGAAGAAACTAAGAGACGGAAGCTCGCAAAGAAATGCGAAAAAGTGGTCGAGCTGATGATGGTTTCTGGGATACCAACATCCTCTGGATATGAGGAGAGGATACGCTTCTCTGAAATGGAGGTTGTCGACAGAGGTGCAAATGAACAGGGGCTACTTGTCAACATGCCTGAAGGGAATGTAATCAACGGCTGGGACGTTAACATTGCAGCAGTCAGAACGACCGCCGTTAGACGTACTTTGAGATATCACCAGCATGCGGTATGTATAGCCACTACCTCCCTTCGTCACTACAGCTTTGGAATATCCCTTTTCTCACTGGTCATGTGCAGGAATTCTTAATCCGAGTTCGGCAACAAGATGGCCCTAGCATTTACATTGGCCGGCGCTTTGGTGATTTTGCAAGATTGCACAAGAAACTCCGAACAGAGTTGCCTGGGAAGGTCATACCTCCTTTGCCTAGAAAGAATAAAAATTCGGTGTCTTCGTCTTTCTTCGGTTCAACTCTGGATGATGATGCATCCTCCACATCGTCCGTCAATACCTTGGAGACAAATGAAGGCCAATCTACCCGAAATCTCCTCGTTCCGAGCACCCTTAAACACAAGGCTTCCGTCTCCTCTTTCAAATCTATAAGCTCACAGTCGCCTCGAGCATCAGGAGAGCTACAGGGTGAAACAGTCACACTGTACAGAGAGGAGCAGCGTGTCTCCCTGCGCGCGTTCTTGAGACTGATTCTACAAAATCATAGAATAGCCTCTTCAAATGCTATGAAAGAATTCCTAACAGACAAACCTATTACCTTGAATGAAGAAGAAGAGATGGATATTGCAAGAAGAAAAGAGCTTGATGCTAAACGCATTGAAGAACAAAGACGTTTTTACGAAATTGCAAGGAAACGCGCGCGAGAATTAGATGTCTACATGGAGCAATTCAGACAAGATATTGTGGAAAGAAGTAAGTTAAAAATACCCATCGATTCTCTTATTACTTCTTTAACTGGGATCGCTTTTAACCATATGATCATTTATAGATGGCCTCACAAAACTATTCCAAGAGATTAGAGAAAAGGATTCCGTAGAAACGCTGAGCCCGCAATACCAAAAGTTTGCAGAATGGCTGCGTATCGAGTATGCATACCCCCGTCTTTCTGCTTATTACTGGCAGCGCTTTTATGATTCTGACTATGATACTCTACAATAGGGTCGCGGCTACATTATACCATATCTTTTTAGCTGAGGATAATTCGCCCGAATTGTTTGCCCAGGCTAAAAGGATACATTCTTTAATCCCATATTCGATTTTGAAGAATGTCATCCGCATTGCTAACCCTGCAGCCGTGATGGCTGGAGTTCTGGACCTTTTCCTTGCTCAGCCATTTGGAGCTAGATCTCTTCTACAACGAATATTCGCGATGGCGATTCAAGATGGCGTAAAAGCCTTCCAAAAATCAGTCGATAGCTTAGCAACAAGGATAGATGATAATATCCTCGTAGATAAGCTTCGAGCATTCACAGAGGCTAATGAAGAAGTGAAGAATGAGCTCCGCGCAGAGGCAGAGGCAGAGAGCGTTGATATAGTTGTGGTAGTCTTGCGGTCTGAACATTTCCAGCCGGAATTGACCGTACGGCAGATCGAGAAAGTGTTCAATTCTTATGTCGCCTGGGTGAGCGCAGTTGAAAGTGTACGTTGTCCTGGCAGATTCCCATCATTCGCGGTCCACTGCTAACATTTTCGTATTAGATTGATGACCCTGAAATACAACAAGGCGCCCAGTGGTTTTCGTACCTAAAGCAGCTTTTGAAAGTGCTCACGAGGCAAAGAGATAAGATGATGATGCTGAACATTATTGAAGAGGTAAAACTACTTGTTTCTCTGGCATCCGTTATAGATACCCACTGACTTCGTAGCAGCCCGTTACTTTACAGCTTTTCCGCGATTTATTCACCATTTTCTACGAACCCCTAGTCCGTGTTTACAAGTCCGCAAATGTCTACAATAGCATCACAGATTTTGCAGAATTTGCAAACGATGCTATCGCTGTCATTGAACGAGCTCAAAGACAAGATGTTTCTGCTGATCCAAATCAAACCGTTCAGTCATTTATTGACCTTTGCACTCGCCATCAACAGAGCTTTTATAAATTCGTTCATGAGGTTCATATCCATGATAACGGGTTATTTGCATCGCTGATGACATGGCTGGAAGACATCCTTAAGTTCCTCCGCGAGGGCCCAGAAAGCGGCGGCACTCTTGACATGAACGCGCTCTTCCAAGGAGCTGTTTCTGCCGGCCAAATTGACAAGGACGCCGCTATCGCCGAGATCGATTCGTTAATCAAATGGCATTCAGACAGAAAGAAATGGCACCAGGATAAAACCCGACAGAAGATGGCTGCGGAAGGTGTCAATGAGCAGATGCCAGGAGTCTCTACCTTTAAAAGCAGTGACTTTGGGCTCCATGAGGTAAGCAAAGAACGGCTCCACACATCTTGGTTCCACTGTTAACAAACACTCTTCTCTTAGGCCGATTTGGAAGATCTGGCAATTGAAGATGACGTTTCAGATCCTTCAGATGAGAACTCCGAAGATGATGATATGGATCCTATAGAATTTGAGCGCAAACGCCGTTCTAGGCATCAAGACCGTCTCCGTCGTTCTGCAGGGGAGCCGGTGAAACCCAAGATATCGGAGATATTGAAGCTACGAGACTCCTTTGGGTCGATGCTGAGGATGGTCCTTGCTTAAAGGAAAGGCAAAGAAGATTTATCGCTCTTTTCTGGCTCTACCTTTCGTCGTTACATTTTGGGGATACCCGGTGGCTCTATAACTAGGTAATAAAAGCATCCAAAGCAGTAAAAGTGAATTATTTCGGAGATATGTATATTTCTACATTCACAGAACAGCCATGGTCTTCTTCTTTTTGCCTGTAGCCTATGGAGAATTCTCGACGCTTAGATCATAGAGCCCTATGTAGCGATACCAAGGGAGTGGAATGCTATGCCTGATGATGTACTAGGAAGTCAACACCTGCACCCCCTTTTAGAGTTGCGGCTAGGGTGGAGCAGTTTGGGGTTTAGATAAGATTGATAAGAGCGGTTGCTATGGCTACTGCTTTCTCCGCTGTCCTCGACTTAAGGAGTACTCGACGACGCCTTCGGCAACCCTTTTTACTCTGCTTCTCATGACTTCCAGTATCTAGCATGTCGGGCCAGCCGGGGAGTGAGGCTTCTCCAAACCGGCGCCCTCCATGGACCGGGAGAAAACCTGAAACCTTGCGAGGCCTTCTGCTTGAGGGGAGATGGCACTGCGACTGTGACCCCCGCCGGATAGCAAAGCATTTCGAGACAAAAAACGGCGGCAAATACCATGGAAGATGGTGTAAGTGGATTACTCTACTTTTTATCACGGCGCCATGTTCTTGCTAACAGTGTGTATTTCCGTCCGATAGTCTATACTTGTCCGAAGTCACGAGATATGGGATGCGGATTTTTTCTGTGGAGCGATGAGGCAAAGGAACGAGAGCCAGCACAGAATCCAACAGACGCTTTGAAGAAGAGCTCCGACGCGCAAGAGGCAGAGCCAGCCAAAGTCCGACCTGATAGCATAAAACCAAGCCCCGCATTACATACACCAAAGGCGAACCGTATCCGCGAGTCCATATTACGTGGTGGGCTTCTAACGCCAGAGTCCCAGGTAAAGAGAAAAAGAGATGCAGATATAACCGATTATTTGGATAAATATCAAAGCCCTACCAAAAAAGGGCGGCTGGATTTACCTACATCACAGGCAGCGGAGCAGGACACCTCATTCACCACCGTCCCGAATATTTCCTACCCTTCTTTGACTTCCAGGCTTGAGGCTTTAGATTCCGAACCAATACCACAACCCGTATTCCTCACTCCTAGGAAATCAACACCACCACCAAGAAGTGAAACCGCTCCTGGCCAGAAAACCTCTCTTGGACTCCCTACCACTCCGACTCCTTCTCGCTTTACGACATCGCCCCTTTTCTACCATTCGGCAGAGAAGGTTAATAAAAGATCACAGTACTGTGAGACAGCGGCTAAGGCTTTTGGAATACTTGAGGCTCATAAGATCAATGTTACGCCCAAGGCAAAGGAAGAATTGGCGGAATTTCTTGATAGGAACGACCTAAAGACTCTAGGGATCATTAAGGGAAGGGATATCTCGAGGCTAGCAATCAAGAGCCGAGAAAATCGCATAGAAGCGTTGGAAAGTCGGATTTCGGTGTTAGAGGCAGAGAGGGAATCTTGGAAAGCATTGTCCTTCAAACCAGGCAATAAACCCTCTCCTCAGATTCGCAGCAGCAGTCATGGTGGGCTTGGGGAGGGGTTGTAGTTTAGAGAGAATTGATTTTCGCAAATGTTGTGATTTCGGAAGAGTGAGGCTAAGAAGTGAGGTAAATACTACTTCAAGAATGATTTCATTTCACATGCAGTTAAAACTGAATATCGACGCAACATTATTAACAAATTCTCACCAGAAGAACCTGGAATGACGATAAACGCATTATTTTTTTGGCAAAAGGCGCAGTTCGTCCGCAAATTATTTGGATATAAAAGATTTAGTGGGAGAATAGAACAAATAGAACATTATAAATGCATGAAGTGAAGGTATATATATAGCGTAATTATAAAAACGAAGCGTAAATGCTGTTCGCGAGTGGATATAAGAGGTAATTTAGAGGGCGGCGATCATACCCAATCCACCGGCAAGGAGAGGGAGAACGTTGACAGAGAGGCAGCCAGCACCGTTGCCTTGTGGAGTATCTGGTGAAGACGATGGAACAGATCCAGTGATGTCAGTGGATGTTGGGAAAGAGCTTCCAGAACTAGAAGTAGAGGTTGCAGTGCTAGAGGAGGTAGTGGATGTGCTGTCATCGGAGCCAGTACCTCTGCAGTCAGGGTTTCTTGAGCCCTATTCTAGGTGTTAGCAGGGATGCGGAATGCAGGGTTGCACTTGAAGGTAGCTTACAGGAGCACAGCAAAGGGTGCCAGACTTGGAGCACTTTCTTCCGAGATCACAGTGGCCTAGAGGAATGTGTCAATAATGGTTCAGTGGTGCAATGTTAAATGTAGGTTGACTTACTTCCGGTGTTTTGGCAGCAGGTCTCTCCCGCAGTTGGGTCGTAGCAGCTGTCGGTACCACAGACCTTGTTTCCAGGGCCGTACTGGCGAGCGCAGCTCTCATCGGTAGGACCGCTGCTGCCACCGGAGCCGCCAGAGCCTCCAGAGCCGCCGCTGCTACCACCAGAACCACCAGAGCCGCCGCTGGAGCCAGATGGGTCACAGCTGGAGTATCTTGGGTCATTTGGGTTGTAGCACTTGGTCGAATCATTGGGACATTCCTTGTATCCGCTACCGAAGCAGCTCTGGCAGGTTACACCCCGTCCAGAGCAAGAGTCAGAACTGCCAGAGCTTCCACCAGAGGAGCCACCGCTACCACCGCTGCCGCCGGAAGAATCGCAGCTAGAGTATTTTGGGTCGTCTGGGTTGTAGCACTTGGACGAGTCGCCAGGGCATTCCTTGAAGCCGCTACCGAAGCAGCTCTGGCAGGTAACACCGACACCAGAGCAGTGCTCATCTCCTGAGCCACGAGCGAAGATGTTGCTACGAGCCTTCAAGTTGTTACCAGTTCGGCTGAGGGAGTGGGCGCTTTTGGAAGCGGCGGTGGAATCACCGGAGCCGGCAGCAACCAAGGTTGCTCCCAGGAAGAGGAGGGAGGCGACGGAGAAGCGCATCGTGGAGGTTAGATTATGGTATTTATAGGGTATGGCTAAGAATTATTCTTCTGAGAAGGAGAAAGGATAAAGAACGACTGGAGTTGGTTGGCCTGTACACGGTCCTTCAGCAAAAGCGAGAGAAAGGACAGAGGAGGGCGAAGAGGAGGTATATATAAAATTCAAGAGCCTGTCCTAAAAATACACGAGGAGGACTGCATCTCGGATTGGGGATCCGCTGCTACTCCGAATTGGGGAGTAGCCCACCACTTGATCCAATGCCATTTTTCTCTGGAATATGAGGCTATGTTGTGATCATCAGGGTATATTCCAATGTTATTGGCCGGGAACTGAAGCCCTCCATTCACGGTAAGTTGTGAGCTCGAAAACTTTGACTCCAGCTTGTTGAAAGGCGCATGTGGAGTTGGGCACTAGTCTGGAGTTGGGAAAAGCTCAAAGTAGCTTGAAGCCCCTTTCCCATCACCTCTCGTATTTTGACTATATTTTCGCGACGTTGTTCGCCTTGACCAAATCTAGTATCCACAAGGCTCGATCACAAAAAAGCAAAGCAACAGCAGGAAATAGGGGCAAATACGAGTTTGCGTTTGCGTGGCTTGATTTGTCGATCTGGATGAATATTTTGTGAGCATTTCTTATGCAAGAGTTAACGGCTGTTTGGCCGGGGGCCAGTGAGGAGATTGAGCATAACATCTCACGTCGAGTTCGAGACCGTCTCGCGTTCGCCTCTACTGCAAGTGTTAGGCGAGGTGAGGGAGACGCGATCCAAACAAGCTGAAGCCTAAGCGGGAAGAGAAAAGTAGGTTAAGCTAAAAAGCTTGGCGCCTTTGAGCCTCCTTTGCTCTCGCTGCTCCGTATCATGCCCGCGCGAGGTCCACCCCACGCAGGCAGGATCGTAACAGTGTTCATCATTCTCCTTTTGCTTGTCGGTCTCTTTTCCGCACACTCCGTACTCCGTATGCCCCTTTTAATCTATCAACTTAGGGTGGTGTCTGACACCTGGATTTGCGGACAGGTGTGTTATCTCTGTGCTGGGGAGGCAATGGGGAGAGAAGTCGATTAAATTAGCGTATCCACTAGTTTATAAATAGCATAGCGGTCTACTCAAGTGCTGTCCTGGGCAGTAACCTTCTCTTGGGTATTTATTATATTCAGAACGGGACATTTGATCTCGCTATGGGACATCTCTTCCCGTCCCAGCTGATGGTGAGACGGATGTACTCCGCACCCTTGCGGTTCGTGCTGGCAATACTGGACATGGTGTGCTGTGAAAGCTCGGTTGAAAAGCTTTTCGGCCTCACCCTGATGGGTAGCATCCTTGGCGTCCTCGTTCCGTGAGTGAGCTGACTGGCAGTTCAGGTCCGTCGCAGAGGATTCAGTAAAGCTAAACAGCACACTAATTTCGGCTTTAAGATCACACGCTGCCTAGCTGAGGCTCAGCGGTCTCTTTTCCCAGCAATTAGTCATTGGCTGTGTTCACCAAGTCAAACGCCAAGGCCACCACTTGCTCCGATTCGGCCTTGCATTCTTTCGTGATAAAAAAAGCCCAAACCTGCACGGCACAGAGCCCAAGGATAAGGTGGAATGCCTTTGGACGGGTGGGTGCTGGGTCCTCTTCCCCGTATCCAAGGCAGCACAATGGGGAGGAGATAGCGAGGCTGTTCGATGAAGCATTTGAAAGTCGCAACATGGTGGTCAGCGCAATGTCGTGTGCATTGCTTGTTGGAATGAGACTTTCTGCTGCCATATGGTGGCGTGCTTCGCGCGTGAACCCGGCTTTGAGGCTTGTTTGGAAACAGCTTGTTGCAGCAAATGTTTTCCAACCAACTGCCAAGAAAACGTTACAGTTCGGGCCTGTCAATCGTTAAATAGTCGCAGGCAACGAGACGATGATCTGCGTCTTCCCTCTGATCATGCCTGGAAATGGTCATTTCTTTTCGGTTGACTCTAATTCCGCTTTGGCGTGTTTATGGGACTATTTGCGTTCGAGATCTGGAGTATCGAATTCCGCTGCTCTCGCATTGTGATAACGCCCGATATTGCAGAATCTCCCAGGAAGATGAGAACATTGTCGCTTTTTAAAACGAGACAAGCCCCATGTAACCCGGTTGATATTAATGCAACCGCTCCTTCATAGCCAAGTTGCAGAGGGTTCAGTCTGAACCAATATCGATACTCTTGAAAGCGGCCCTATCGCGCCTTCTCCAGTCGCAAATTAACTGTCTTGGGCTCAAAATCGGCATTCTTCTAGTCGTTCGCTCAATATTATCGTAATCAACGTGACAATTGTTGCTCCTGACGCCGCTGCTGCTGATGCTGTTAATATTGCTCGTGTTAATTCAGACGTCAAGAAGCTGGAGGCCTTAGAAAGTAGTTACCACGTGACCACATTCAAAAGCTGACAAAGATCGCGATTTTGTTTGAACAAACAATTTGATATTTTGACCAAAATTCGACTTGACTTACTCCATAAGATAACTTCTGAGTAGCATTTCTCCATCTGTACGAGTTTTATCAGGTCCGACTCTCTGGTTTTGACAATATTGCAAGGCGCTGGCAAAAAAGTCATTAACTAGTTACTCCTTATCGATATCAGAAAATTTTTCTTATCGTCGAGTAACTAACTAGTCAGATGGATTTGAAAACTCCCGTACGCAAGATGAATAGCTTTTGAAAGATTCTATATTGAGTAGAAGCTGATGAACTAATCCTATTACCTTACTGTGTAGCCTTCAACCCTCCCGCACGACCGCACACCCTCCCCCCAGACCATGTTCCGACCGCCTATCAACCGCGCAATGCGGGTACTTGACCGGTCATTCTTCAAAAAGACCATACCTCTCGCTGCTGCCACAGTATTTGAACCGAGGAATCTTGGCCGGATCAAGAACGAATTAGCGAAGAGCAATGATATTCTGAACGCTCCGCGGTTACCGGCCATTCGATATGTCCAGAACCCCACCACAGAGGAGGAAAAGAGCAAGAAGTGCATCTTGCTGAAAGAGCAGATACAAGCCAACGATGCGACTACCTGGTCACCGACAATACGGGAGTTGGTTGAAGCAAAGTCTGTGGAGCTGAAGCCATATGATCTTCAACTTGATTATGACTACTGGCTCTATCGTATGTTCAATTGGGAAGACTCAAAACATAAATGTAACTGCTAACATATACGGTAGATGACATCCTTTCTTCAATATTGCCAGAGGAACATCTCGAGGAGACACCAGCTGGCTTCAACCAAGTTGGTCATGTCGGTATGTAGAGCCAAAAAAAACCCTGACCTAGTAGCTATGGAAATGCTAAGTTTGAATATATAGCGCATCTTAATCTAAGAGAGCAATATCTCCCATACAAGAATTTAATCGCCGAAGTTATCCGGGATAAAAACTCAACTGTCCGAACAGTAATTAACAAGGTGGACGATGTTGGCGCAAACAGCGAATATCGCACATTCGCATACGAGCACCTCGTTGGGGACAAAAATATGAATGTCATCCAGCATGAGCAAGGTTGCGAGTTCGCATTTGACTACTCCAAAGTATATTGGAATTCGCGCCTGGGAAATGAACATACATATCTCGTTGGCCGGTTTAAGGAAGGAGAAGCAGTATGTGATGTGATGGCTGGCGTTGGACCGTTTGCCCTACCGGCGGGTAAGAAGAGGGTATTCGTGTATGCAAACGACCTTAACCCTCACGGCTACGAGAAACTGAAAGAAGGCACCGCTCGGAACAAAGTCAGAGAATTTGTCCAGCCTTTCAACATGGACGGAAGAGAGTTTATAAGACACGCTTCCCAGGAGCTGTGCGTCAACGGGCCCCGTCCTGTGAAGATATTCCCCAAAATGAAACGCACCGAAGCAACCGAGAAGAAAAGCGTTCCTCCACAAATATATGAATGTCCGCCTACCTTTGACCATTATGTGATGAACCTTCCGGCTTCCGCAATTGAATTCTTAGACGCCTTTGTCGGTGTCTATGCTGGAAAGGAATCACTATTTGAGCCACACACCGAGCGTAAACGACCGCTTGTCCATGTTTACTGCTTTTCGACCAACTCTGATGACAATGCCGTTGAGTATGCGGATATCTGCAACCGCATTTCGGAAAGGATACAATACAAGATTACCCCTGATGATATGATTGGTGGTACAGGCAACCAAAACCTCGAGCTTGAGATTCGTGATATCAGGCTTGTCTCGCCGAACAAGAGGATGTTCTGTGCTTCCTTCAGGCTTCCAGCAGAAGTTATCTTCAAGTCCTAATTCAGCGCTTTACAGGATGCAATTAGGAGTTTGTTTTCTTTCCAACGGCTGGTTTTATATGACAAAAGTGAGCGAGGGTGTTTAGCATCATTCTCTGGTTACGGTTCTCAAAGAGCATAGAGTTGTTTGTGTACGATAGACTTATATATATTTTCATCCCCTGCATTGACTGCCATTGGAGTGGAGTTGGTGGAAGGACTTTGAATTCTGATGATATACTCGTTTCTCTCTTACGAAAGGACATACATATTATTCCTCCATACTTCGTGACCAGCTTGATATTGGCTCTTTTTTTCATTTCGCTTTCTAACTATCAGGCTAATAATGAAACATCTCCATCTGATGCTATGCGTTAACTGTCTAGCAAAAATATAAATAAACAGTATCATGTCGAGTGTCATCTTCCAGTTAAGGAGGTACCGTTTTCCTAACCTGAACGCCTTGCACATTGCTAAAATCAACCCCTTCCAAACCCGTTAATTCGAAGATAAAAACAGGGCCGCCCAAAGCACTGCTATTTTCATTCCTCTCATATTATATGGTGGTGGTGGTGGTGTTGGCGGACAAGCCAATCACTCCACGAAATTCCGTAGCTTGGTGAGCTCGTCTAGAAGCTCCTGCAAGTCCGCATCCGAGATCTTGTTTCCGATACTTGGGATAAGCGACTTTGCCTCCTCTGCATTATCACAGCACAGACTTCCTATTCGATGGTTAGATAGGGTCGAAACAGCAGGCGGCCAACTGCCACTCATCTCACGTACCCAGCTGTGACCGCTCAAAGAACTCCAGCTCCGTATGCGCAGAGAGAAGACGCTCGACAGCTTCGATGTTCTCCTTCTCCTTGAACCTGGCGAATACTTCGAGATAATCCTGGGTCTTGACCAGGGTCCTGCCAGCGGACGATTAGCATGTGCGGCCCAAGTCGCAGCCCGGCGCACAACTCACTCGCGCTCTTCAAACTTGCTGTCTCCTTTCCTCCGCAGGTCAAGGACCTTGTTGATCACCAGTCGAGCTTCGGACAGAGATAGAGTCGGCACATGCTGGAATTCGCCGAGCTTGAGCTGGGCGGTAGCTTCGAGTTCGCTCTGGGGGAGCTCGCGTTTGCGATGCGTGGGCTCGTGGACGGGCGTGGAGGAGCTCATGGTGCCGGCGACGATGCTCTAGCTGTTTCCTGTACTCTGGCAAAGATAACGACCCGCTCGCAGCATTCAACCAGGCTCGCGTCTGCTGCAATCTTCACTCTTCAACCTTGCGACTTCACGATCTTTTCCTCTTTCTTTCCCTATTTTTTTTTCCCTGACGTCGACAAGAGCCTCTCACGTGACATTTAATGATTAGGTAATGACTTGCCTGTCTGCTTACGTAATACGAGCTTTCGGCACTTTTTCTTTTCCTGCGCTTTCAAAACAAATAATCCGAGTGAGCAGTAAAAGTAAATAAAAGTAAATAAAAGTACGGAGTCAAAATCAGGGAAGCGTGTAACTGCAGCACCCCCGTCGTCCCCAGTCGCCAGCTAGCTAGCCTCCAACGTGTTACTCGGCAGGTGTGTAGGTGTGTCCATCCCGACCTTATGGCCGTCTCCTATAGATGAGCCCGCCAGCCAGTGAGAGCGCGAGCAGCCCTTACATAAGCCGGGTTAGTCGCAAATAGGCAATCCATCGCTGGCGGATCATTGGGATCAACTCTCGTTTTTGTTTCGACGTCCACGAACAACCCAGGAAAAAAAAAGGGCCTAGTTTTCTTGTCGCCCCTCGTTCCCCGTCCCGGAGCAGAGCCAATGCGACAGACCTGCGCATATTCCATCTTGGTCGAAACGGTGCGACTGGCCAGCGCTGCTCCCTTTGTGTTAATATATATCCCGCGGGGGGTCGGCCAGAGGGGAAGGTAAGGATAAAGAGCATAGCTGCTTGCAACACGCGCAGTGCTCGTTCGGAGAACCTCGGGGGCTGCTGCTTCGTAAACCAGCAACGATGTGGAGTTCTCCCATACGGAGTTACAGTCGCCCATACATGCACATAAATATATGGGAGAAAGATGCCAGCTGGGTTAGGCGAATTTATATGCGCCGCTTCTCCTGTCCTGTCGCGCTTGTTGCCAAGTCGTGGACGGGTGTTGTTCCTTTAACTATAAGAAGTGAATAGTGTTGCTGGAGAGTGAATCCTGGATCTCGAGCTCCGGCGCCTGTTGGCTTTTTCTTATATATCTATTGTCTATATTTCTCAACCGCCACAACCTCTCAAAAGCTATCAGCGCTTTTTTGCTTCTCTTCTTCTTCTCTTTCTTGATCCTCCTGATCTTTTTCATGTTTTCTCTCCTCGTTACCCCACGTGTTCCGGCCCAAAGTGAAAAAACAAGAGGCCGAGAGAAGCAGAAGATCTCAGCTTCATGATGTCCAAAGTCTTCGAGAAATATACCACCGGCCCGGAGAGCCCGGACGTCCATAGCAAATATCAGCCAACAGACGAAGTGGTCTTTCGGAGTCCGTTTGGGCCATTCCCCAAGGTTGACCCGGATCTGAATTTGCATGACTTCTTCTTCCCTCCAGAGAACCCCATTGACCAGGCAGACCATGATCTGTTCATAGATGGGCATACAGGCACCACGGTGTCACTGTATCAGTTCTACGATAGTGTAGTATCCCTGTCGAGAGCCCTGCGGCATGACGGGCCTAATCCGGTAGGACTGAGGCAGTCACCGGTGGATGATAATGGCAGCGGTGAGATCATAGGCATACTATCAAGGAACCACCTTTCATGGCCGCTGCTGGTGCATGCATGCTTCCGGTCAGAGCTTGTTTTTGGTAGCATCAGTCCCAACTCAACACCCTATGAACTATACCATGTCATGCGCAAGATGCAGGTCACTTCAATGGCCGTTCATGAATCTCTGCTTCCTTTGCTGATGGAGACTGTCCAGAGTGGCCCGCAGGCAGGCAATGACAGCTCACTTCCATTTGTATTTGACGCCAGGAAGATAATAGTCATATCAGATGACCTCACGCTGGACACAGTGCAGGGCTATCCCACAGTTCAGTCGTTAATTCGACTTGGCTCAAAGACACCAGAAAAGCCGTGGAAGCGCTCAGGGGGTAACCGACTGTGCTATCTCCTCCAGTCATCAGGGACATCTGGATTTCCCAAGGCTATGATGATATCGCATAGAAATGCCATACACACCACCATCCAGGGAATGATAACCGCGACGCGGACTGCGGATTTTGTAAGCTTCTAACAAGATTCATGGTTGCCTTGAACTGGGTATACTGATATTTTTTTGGAATTGAACAGTTGAATATGCAACCACAGCCATCTGTGGTCCTGGGTATAATCCCCGCATATCACTCATACGGCCTGACGATGTACAGTCTTCGCGTGAACGTGATGCGGAGTACAAATGTATTGATGTCCAAATGGGACCTGGAGACCGCCTTGAGGCTTATAGAAAAGCACAAGGTCACCACTCTCCCGCTTGTGCCACCGCTTGTCCGACAGATCGCTCTCTCACCTCTTACGGAGAAGTATGACCTCTCATCCGTCACCTTTGCCGCCAGCGCAGCCGCCTACCTACCGCCAGACGTAGCTCACGCGCTAGGCAAGAAACTACCGCAAAAGGCCCCTGTCCAATCTGGCTATGGACTGTCAGAGGCCCTGTCTGTCGCCCAGCCGATGGCCGAGGGTCTCTTTGGGATATCGCGCTCCCAGCCTGGGACTATCGGACACCTAATGCCGGGCATTGAAGCCAAACTGGTAGATCCGGATACGCTCAAGCCCGTACCCAAGGGAACCAAGGGCGAGCTCTGGGTCCGGGCTCCCGTCGTCACTCCGGGCTACTTCAAGGACCGGAAAGCAACTGCGAGCCTGTTCGCGGAGCCCGGCTGGCTGAGAACGGGCGACTTGATGATGCGAGACGCAGAGGACCGGCTTCATTTCCTTGACCGACTGAAGGAGATGATCAAGGTGAAGGGCATGCAAGTTGCGGCCACGGAGGTGGAGGACACGCTGCTGTCTCATCCGGACAAGCTGGTGCGAGATGCGTGTGTTGCTGGCGTCGACAACGGCCGCGGAGACGGCGGCCTCTTCCCTCGAGCCTGGGTGGTGCTATCCGAAGAAGGCAGACGACGAGATCCGATCCAGGTCATGGTGCAACTCGACGAGTTTGTCAAGTGCCGGCTATCCAAGTACAAGCATCTTGCCGGTGGTATCGAGATAGTCGACCAGGTAAGCCAAGCCCTTTATCTTTTATTTCTTCTCCTTTCTTTCTTCATTTCTAGCTCTCAACTGACCGGACTAGATACCACGAACACCCTCGGGCAAGATGCTGCGCAGAGAGATGCGAGACAGGTACCACTCCCAGCAAAGAGACCGGCAGGACAAGGCAAGGCTCTAGCTAGTTGTACTAGTGAGTCTGCGGCCAGTGGCTGAGCGACCTATTTTTACCACCTTTCTCTGTTCCTTTTACACTAGTTAATACTGTCTTCGTCTTTTATATCCTTCTGCCTGCCTGTACTTCCTGCATCTCGCTCTTATAGATCTGAATTAGAGTTATGTTTCATGTCCAGCGCCACTGGTTGTAAATATAGAATTGTGCCGTAGGAGATATGTTTCATCAGGCTGCACAGCTAGCTATCAGTGGCAACGTGTCTGTACCTGAGTAGGCCTGTTCCTGGCCGCCCAGCGACCGCTGACCAGTGACCAGCAGCTGTCTCTTGCCACTACCTTAACACCTCTCTGTCTATACAACGCATTCCTCTATATATGTCCTATATACTCCGTATCTTCTATATCTATATCTATATATCTATGTCTTCTGCATCTGCTGCCTGTCCTGCTCATCACGTGAGTCTGTTTCCCTTTCCCCCCTTTGGGACTAGCGCGACCTCAACGTGAAGCCGAAACGGGAAACGAGAGAGAAAAGAAGAAGAAGAAGAAGAAGAACGTCGACCTCAACCTCATCTTCAACCTCATCTTCACCTTCAGCAACCTCGACGCCAGCGCTGCTGGCCCGATCTACGCGTGTCTGTCTCTCTTGTACCGGCCTGGAGGACCACGCTCGCTCTGCTCCAGCTAACTATCGGTCTGCATATGCCAAGCAGCGTCGCCGGTTGGTCAGTTATCCCTGGGGGTCGCCAAAAAGCAACTACAGCAAGCAGGCAAGCAGCCCAGCATCTTATAACTGCTGCTGCTCCTGACATCACCAGCCAGCCCCCGGAACCAGTGACAACCAGTGACAGCCAGCGACACAAAACGCGAGCTATTCTGCAAGGTATGTAAGCTGTGAAGGATGCAGTCGATGCTTCTGCCCTACTGTTTCTTGTTCCCCTCGACCTGTCTGTCTCGTTGCTTTTTGGCCCGGCTTGTCCTCCCTTGCGCTGCCTTGGGTGCTTGTCCCGCTAGCCGCACTCGAAAACCGTTTACCCGTTGCTGTGCTGTGCTTCTACCGCTTCGATGACCTGCCAACTGACCGTCTCCTGCTTTTCCCCCCCTCCCCCCATATAGGTCCTTTTTGTATGGCTTGATAGGGACTGCCACACGCCAGCTACGCCTCTTTTAATCTCCCTCCTCTTTCGCTTTCATGTGTCTCTCCTTTGATCAGCGCCTGGCTCCTGCGGAATTAACGAATTTAATGAAAAAGAACCCCCCAGAGAAGGTATTCCATTCCCCACTACCAGCCTCCTCCTGAAAGGGTGCTATTGATGAAACCTGCCCCAAGCACAACCCCCTATGCTAGAGTTGACCTCTCTTGTTTCTGACTTCTAAGTGAATCTGCCTAGACCCTGACTGTCCAACTCACCTTACACATACACACACACGCACACACACACACACTCGCTCACCTTCCTGCTCTTTTCTTACCTCACTTCCTGCGCCAAACTGGATTGACTGACTGAGCCCTGGGAGGAATAACACACAGACGACATCACCCTCTAATTACCCCGGGTTTTCCTCCTTATTTATGCTTAACTGCAGGCTTTGCGTCACCTAAACTACAAGCCTCCTTGACCTCTTAAGCGCGTATTTCACTCACTTTCTCGCTTGCTCTCCCTGAGCCAACGCGCCGTCAACCTCAAATAGGGGATACCGCTCTCCCTTTCCTCTCTTTCATCTCCCCTTTAATCGAACCTTTTACCTGCCCGTCGTCGAAAGGAATTAATAAAAAGGAAAGCTTCTTACGAGCAACAAGGGAAAAAAAAAGGAAAGTTGTACACCTCGGGCGGAGGTTGTTGACGCAGATATGGCGTCTGCAGGTCGTCATATTCCACCCAACCTGCTGCCGGGCAATCGAGGTGAAGATGGCGGTTTGCAGACCACAAACGCTTCTGGCTTCCAGGGCCAGTCTCCCATAGACAGCCCAGACGGCAACAGAAGTGCTCCCTGGTCTGACATCCCCCCGTCTGCTCCTAGCGAATCTAATGTCGGCGGCCCCGAAGAACGATCTCCCAGACAGCCAGATTCCTACCGAAGTCCTGGCAGAAACAAGTCGCGCGATCGACACAACAATTCAAATGGCCCTTCCACCAGCAAGTCTCCAAGCGGGAATACCAGAATCTGCAGAGTCTGTGGAGAGCCTCTGTTGGGACAGTTTGTTCGTGCTCTGGGAGGCACGTTTCATCTGGAGTGTTTCCAGTGCAAAGTATGTCGTTTCTTTCTCTCTTTCCCGTCATCAGTCTTTGTTGCATTACAAAACAATCTAACATGCGAAAAATAATAATAATAGGACTGCGGAGAGATTGTCGCATCGAAGTTCTTCCCTGTCGATTCTGAAGATGGCAATTCCCAGCATCCGCTTTGTGAACGAGACTACTTCCGACGATTAAACCTATTGTGCTTCGAGTGCGGAGGCGCTCTCAGAGGATCCTACATCACCGCTCTAGATCATAAATATCACATTGAACATTTCACCTGCTCCGTTTGTCCTACCGTCTTCGGCGCCCAGGACAGTTACTACGAACACGAAGGCAAAGTATACTGCCATTACCACTACTCGACCCAATTCGCTCAGCGATGCAACGGCTGCCAGACAGCAATTCTAAAACAGTTTGTCGAGATCTTCCGAAATGGCCAGAACCAGCATTGGCACCCTGAATGCTACATGATCCACAAATTCTGGAACGTGCGCCTGTCTCCAAGTGGGAAGGCATTTGAACCGCCAGAGATTGATCGCGATGTCAGCACCGAAGAACGAGACGAGATCCGAGACGAGGAGGAAAAGATGGAAGAGAAAGTCTACCGTATCTGGAGCGTGCTTTCTGCATTTGAAGAATCGTCTGCAGCCTGCATCTCAGATATGTTGCTGCACGTTAGCAATGGTGCATACATCGATGGCGTTGTTGTTGCGAAAAAGTTCATTTTCCACGTCGAGGTCCTGTTCAAGGGTACAGACCGGCTTGCGGCTCAAATTTCTTCACTTGGCATAAAAGGTAAGTCCTCCAATAATGCCCCTGTCACATATGGTTACATTGTTACATTTTCTAACGCTTTGTGTAGAAATGGCATATGGCAGAGAAGCAAAACTTCTTTGCAAGAAAGTCGTCTCTTTCTTTTCCTTACTTTCAAAGACTCAAGAGACCGGAGTCCGGAAGCTTGGAGTTACACAGGAACTTCTTGCTCTTGTTACAGGCCTTGCACATTATTTAAAACTCCTTATCCGCATTGGCTTACAAGGCTCTCTTAGATTGGAGCGTGAGACAAAGAGTCCAGATGCACTCTACTCTTTCTTAGACCTAACTGCGGACCTTGAAGAGGTCAACACTATCACAGCTAGTGATCTAAATGCTGATACCTCACAGTTGGCTCACTCTCAGTCTGATTGTTGTGCTGCCTGTACTGAGCCAATTGATGATGAGTGCATCGTCTTAGGGCGGAGACAATGGCATAAGAAGCCGCCTCACCTTGTCTGCGGTGCGTGTCAGGACGACCTAACACATGACCTTGAACGCGCAAGATGGAGTGAAAAGAACGATCGCCCGTTCTGTCAAAACTGCGCCATACAAAGAGGCCATGATCCTCAGGCCGTTCCTGGGTTTGAAAATGTTACCAAGCTCCAGCAATACGTCTTCTTGCTTCGAGTGGCTCTTGCTAGACTCCTGTCGGTTTTGCGATCGGGTGGTACTCTACCACATACATCTGGTATGTTTCTGCTTGCTCTCTACCATACATGAAATATCTTGACTCCCTGCTGACCATCCACCTTAGATGATCCCAACTTGAAGCAATACGAGGCAAATGATGGCCACCGTATCCCTCCACAAGCTGATCCAAACCTACCACCTCAGCGCCCAACTACACGATCAATGTCCTACGCTGGTGAGCACAATGAAGAGAAGACGCCTTCTTCCCTCGAGCAGACAGTTGGTGAAATGAGGAGACTCCGATCCACCAGGAACGAGCGGGCTATATCCACAACCTTCAAGAAAGCCCGAACTTCACGCATAATCTCTAGTCCTGAAAGCAGCAGTGTCCAGCCAGGTGCTCCTGGAGGAGCAAACAATGGTCAAAACCAGAACTTCCAAATCGTTGAGGAACGAGATGCCGATGGCGAGCCTGTTACTGATCTTACCTTCGGAAACCAAGATGCCCTCACTCTGGATGATATTCCAAGAATCGTCGCTGCCGAACAGGCCAAGGAGCAACGTCCTAATGCTTATAAGCATGCTGGTGGTAATCTTATTGGAAGCGGTGGTCCAGCTGCTAAGCTTATCAATGGCCATCAACGGGGAGTATCTGTCGATCAGCTCGGTGCCATGGAACGACCCAGAGCTAAGAAATACTTCTCCGAGCTATCTGCTTTAGAATATTTCATTGTTCGACACGTTGCTGTCCTTTCCATGGAGCCCTTGTTGGAAGGAAGTTTCAATTTAGAAGAACTCCTTGGTCTCATTGAGCCTCGCAAGCCTACTATCTGGAACATCTTCAACCGTGCCTTCAAGAATGATCCTCGCAAAGTTGGTAAAAAGAAGGGCGTTTTCGGTGTAGCCTTGGAAGTCATCGTTGAAAGAGATGGCACCGAATCAACTCACGGAGTTGGACCAGGCACATTACGAATTCCAACCTTTATCGACGATGCGATCTCTGCTATGCGGCAGATGGACATGTCCGTTGAAGGTGTCTTCCGTAAGAACGGAAATATCAAACGACTCAGAGAAACCGCTGAGCTTATTGACACCCGGTACGAGGCCGTTGAGCTGGACAAAGAGTCCGCTGTTCAAGTGGCGGCTTTGATGAAGAAGTTCCTTCGAGAGATGCCCGATCCTCTCCTTACCTTCAAGCTTCACAGCTTGTTCGTTATCGCGCAAAGTAAGTCCATTTTCGTCTAATACCGTTTTTAATAGAAATGACATAACGACTGATTATGAATTTACTGTAGAAATTGCCGACCCTGTCAAGCGCAAGCGAGTCCTCCACCTGACTTGCTGCTTGCTTCCAAAGTCACATAGAGACACCATGGAAGTTCTGTTTTCATTCCTAAACTGGGCATCTTCTTTCTGCCATGTTGATGACGAGACTGGTAGCAAGATGGACATCCACAATCTCGCTACCGTCATGACCCCAAATATTCTATACTCTAATGCAAAGGTCGCTGGTGTTGACGACAGTTTCCTGGCTATTGAAGCTGTCACCTCCTTAATTGAAAATAATGATACCATGTGTGAGGTATGTACCGCCTCGTATTCACGCCGCATTGCCGGGTTGTCATACTAATGAAAACATCCCAACAGGTTCCGGAAGACCTTCTGTCTATTCTTACCGATTCGACCCTTTTCAACGGCAGTGCTGAGATCACCACCAAAGAAATCCTGAAGCGTTATGGGGCCTTGGGTAAACTTCCTATGACCCAGAAAGCCCCGGTCGTCTCGGAAACCATTCCTGTGCGTTCTGGCTCTTCGAAAGGAAACAATTCTCCTATTGCCGCTCGTATTGACACCGATCCATCTCAAGCTACAGCCTGGCAGATGCAGAGTTCTGTGAGGCACATCCACGGGCCTCAGGATCCGAACGCTTCATTCCCACCACAGCC